ATAAATATAAATAAAACATATATTAGCAACTCGAATATTTATAAATATATAAAATCACAATAACTATTTCATCAAGCATTCAAATTCAGAATAACCAACATTCTATTTATATTTGATATATATAATACTTATGGATTACTAAAATTTTCTTAAAATAATTTATCTAATTTAGATGTTGAAGTACTAAAATGGAATCTAAGTTTTTAGGTAGTTATTTTTCCATTACTTGAAGCAACCATTTTAAATGTAGTCTTGAGATTGTCTTCTGTTAACAATCCAGATTTGTCAGTTATTGCAACTAAAAATTCTCCAAAATCTATAGTTCCACTTTTATCTACATCTGCAATTTTAAAAATATTTTCTATAAATAATTTTGCTTCAGCTTTTGTATCAAATTTATTAGAATAAACTTTAAGAATCTCTTCTTTAGTTAATTATCCATCTTAATTTTCATCTAAATTAACAAATTCAGTATAAAGTTATTGTTAATCAGCTGAACATATATTTTTGATCATAAATATCAAAAATAATTGTTACAATTCAGAAATTTTAACTTTATTTTGTTAAAGTTTATTTAATATATTTTGATCATTTTATTTAATTCTAATTTTGAACCAATGATCATTCATAAATGATTAAAGAGAAATTCTTTATTTAATAGGAACTAAAACTCTTTAAATCAATTATCTACATAATTTAGAGACTCTGTCGAATTAAAAATTATTATATTATGCAGCCATCTTTTTAATTTAAGATTTCACTGATTCAATAGTGTTACCTTCAAATGGAGGATAACCACATATCATTTAATAGGCTATCACTCCTAAATTCCAAAGATCTCTAGAGTTGTTAAATACATTCTAGTCTCTTATTGAACAAGCTTCTGGAGGTATAGTAAAAACATTTTATTCATTTAAGTCTGGTTTCACAAATAGACCCCTTATATCACTTAGTTTAATTTAAAAATTATGTGATGTATCAACTCTAGAAAAACTACTTAGATTAAGATAGCCATGACATAATCCAATCTTTTCTAAATATCTAAGTGATTCTGCTGCTTAATAGATAATTGATGCTATTTCAGCTTCATTAAATGGTATTTTGGATTTATCTTCATAGTAATACGATAGTTGACCTCCACTACAATAATCCATTATCAAATAGAAGAAATCACCATCAATAAATAACTCATACACATTAACAATTCGAGGATTATCCTATATAAATTATATGTTATAATCATTACCAATGGTTAACACTTTAATTGAGCTATGAATTCTTCATTTTATTCATTTCTTTCATATTGTTCAACTACTCTTATTTTACCTGTTAGATTATGCTGAACCAACTTCTAATTCATTGACACTTATTTATATAAACATATAAACATACATTTCATGTTTCCTTAAGTGATTTCACTATAAAACCGTGTGAATGAAGACTTATAAACCTTTAGTTAAGACAAGTTCTTTTTAGTTTCATCAGAAGGCTCACTATTCACTTCTTAGTTAGGAGAAAAACTTGGAAGATTAAGTGATGGGTTATTGTTTGTGAGTACTTGATCAGTTTTTCTCATTTATGTTGGTTATTTCAAATCTTTACTTGATTTCAATTTTGATTTAGATTAACATGGCCCCATTTTTATAATTATTTATAGTTTGAGTTTTACAACAACACTAAATATACAAAAATTCATTTGATAAAACTGAATGTTTGCTTTATTTAACAAATATAATAAAAATTTTACAAAGCAATTTTAATTAACAAAAAATAACGATAGTAGTTTAACTGGCTGATCCTTCTTACTTAATTAGATTCAATTGTAATTTAATTTATAAACATCTTTATCATATTGCAGTAAGATAAATGTGTTTGTTGTTATCATTATTTTTATTTCAATTTTTTGATTACTTGATTTATTTACTTTCACATCACTTCTTATTGATTAATAATCAATTTCGAATGTTAATTATTTTTCTTAGAATATTAACTTTTATTATGAATCTGATATAAATATATAAAAAATAAATAAGTAAATGAATAAATAAGAAAAACCCTCTTGAAATCAATTTTTATACATTATATCAAAGTTTTAATACAAAATTGATATATATATTCATGGTTTATGAATTTTTTTATATGTATTTAATTCAGTTTTCATTTCATTTACTACTAAAGCTAATGCTTCAGGATTAACTCCATTTTCTATCATACTAACTAAAACAGCTAATTATTATCTATCCAATCCGCAATTTAAAATTTAAGACATTTCATGTATAACTATAAGATATAATTATGTTAAATACTTTCAAGTGTCTCTTAAGCTTCTTCTTTTTCTTATGATAGTGAAACTTTCAATTAATTTTTATAATTTGAACTATTGTTTTGATTAGCTGACATATAAAATTTTAAAAATATTTTTAATTTTAAACTCATTGTATAAATATTAAATGTCCATTCTGTGAAAAACAAAAAATTGCATTATTTCCAACACAAATATCCTACATATTTTCACTTGGCAATTTAAGCAATTTTAATCCTTTACCAGATTTAATCTCAAAACTATATAATTGTCCCTATCCTAATCCATAAACATAATCACCTTATGCTACACAACTAATTAATTCAGTTTCAGAATAAAATCTTTTAATCTCTTAAAAATTACTATTCAACAAAATCATTTATTTCCCTCTAGGACATATTAATATTGAACCTTAAATATAAAATATTTTCTCCAAAGCTGTCTCTAATTTCAAAGTGTATATCTGTTCCCCAGTATGTATATCCCAAACTTTAAATTATTAATCTAAAGCACCACTATATAATCTACTTCCTTCTGTACTTTAAAACATTGATTATATTAAACCACTATGTCCTCTAAATTATTTTTATGTAATTCCACTCTTTAATGCAAACAATTATATATAATCTGATGCGATAAATACTTATTAAGGATCCTTACCTAATAATATACTACCAATTTATTTAGGATGTGTACTTTCTACTATTTTTAAACACTTTCCAGTTTTTAATTTCCAAACTTTGACTTATCCATTATTATCCAAACTAACAAGTAATTCATTATTTGCACTTAAGTTTATTATACAACTATTATGCATCATATATTAATCATTAACTTAATATTCTATATCATTTCTTACTGAATATTTATTAGGATCCCAAACTTCAATTATTCCATCAATTGATCCTGTTATTAAATTTTATCCATCAGGAGTAAATGTAGCACTATTAACTCTCATTTTCTCAGAATATTTAACAACCTTCTCAATTCTACCTATTTATGTTATTTTTTATTCTTAAAATCCCAATCCCATAAATAAATCATATTTGTTATTTGTAATTATCTTATTTGCACTTAAATATCTTAAACTATCACCAATCAATTCCAATAATCTACATTATGGAGCTTCTATGCATTCATTTATCACTTTTTCAGCTACTTTATTTCTTCTTTATTCTTTACTCAAATTATCAGTATATATTTCATTTACACTTAATTTACCAGGCTTTCTTATAAGATAATCTAATCTTAATAATCTCTCTTTGAATTCTTGAAGACTTGGAACAATCATTTAAAGAAAAAATTAATTTGCTGATTATGTCTCATTTACTTCAACTAACTCTTATACTATTAATTCATATAAATCCAATAATGTATCACTTTAAAAATTAAATAGCTTTATTTAATTCAATATCTAATCCCATTTTCCTAAATCATTCAAATTACATACCATCTATTATATCTTTTTTAAGATTTTATTTCGAGTCAACTAAATTTAAACAAATCCCACTTTCCTTTTATAATTCTTCTTGAGATTTTCTAAATCCATTTTCCTGCAAAAATTATAATATTAACTTTATCACATCATTTCTATTTATTTCCATTAAAAAATTTTAATTATAAATTAATTTTCTCCTTCTTTCTCAATATATAAATTATATGAATTTCTCATTTTATTTTATCATACAAAATAAAGATTATAAAACAAAGAAAATTTAAAAAAATATATTTTATGAGAATATTTAGATGAATTAAGAAAAATTATATATTAGATTATCACTTTCATTCTAGCAATAATTTCATAATTGATTCAAATTATTACCAATTTAACTAAAATTTAATAATAAATTATACTGTATTTAAGTCATCAGTGATTTGAGAAAATTCAGATTTAATATCAGCAGTTTCACATTATAAATGTCTTTTAAGTCCTTTTAATTATATCTCTTATTTATTATTAGAAAAGATCTAAAAGCATGTTTCAATATTTTATTGGGTTAATAAAGTGGATCGAGTTAATGCTAATGACATAAATTAATTAGAATCTAATCCTCCATTTTAAATATCTACTTCTAATTATTAAAATATTTCATTTATTTTTATCTCTATATCATTAGTTTTTTTATAAATAGAAAAAAGTTTAATAAGTTCTTATTTACTTAATAATCCATTCATGTTAGTATCTCCTTCTGAAAATAATTTTTATGTTGCTATATATTCTTCCCAATTAAATTCTTATCCAAAATATCCTAATAACAGTTATTAAATTATGCAACAAGGTTTATTTTTAATAAAGTTAGTAAGTAAAATTTCTTGTTATGTCATTTTCTTAATTTGATGATTTTTTATAAATTAATGTTTTAATAGAGTTTCAAAATCTACACGATGTCGAGGATCTTTGGCTAAAGTAGCTTCTAAAAAACTCTTAAAATTCTAATCCTTTTTTTTTTAAAAATTAAATTTATGATCTTTAATAGTTGTAATCAAAAATAATGTTGTAGCATTTTAAGAGATATCATAAGGTAATTTGCCTTTTTTTAAAGTGTAACCTATCAATCCTACCATCCATATATCTCTTTCTTTAGTAAATACATTTTAATGATATAAACATTCAGGAGGTAAAAATTTAATGATTTCCAAATTATCTTCTTCTTTTATGATGATTCCTTTTAAATTTACTAACTTTACTATCACCCCTCCATTATTTGATAAAATATATTCAAATGATTTGAGATTTAAATTTCCATGAAGAATATTTTTAGAATGTAGATATTACATTGTTGATATCATTTATTCATAAATTTAAGATACCAAACTTTTTGGAACTTTAGCCTATCCGATTATCAAATCTGATAAAGAATTTCCATTAAAATGTTCTGAAACTACTTGATAATTTATTCTGTCCTAATATATTTCTATAATCCTTAGGATATTTGGATGATCCTAAATAATATAAATATTATATTGATTACTAAAGTAACTTTTTATAACCAAGCAATATATTTCTCATGATTCGGATTTTATTTATGAATATTTTCCATTTGGACCAATTTACCTGTCTTATTACTTTGTAAAATTGATATTTGCTTAAAATATAAGAATTTATTCTACATAGTTGGAGGAATGCTGACCAATTAATGTATATTTCTTAGAAGCACTAGTTGTTTCTAAAAGAGGACTTGCTGTGCATGTATGTAATCCAGATATGTTGCTTTAAATTTTTTAAACTGATATTGGATTCCTTTATCGAGAAGTAACCATATTTCCTTCTGTATTTGGAGAAAAAATTGATTCACCAAAAAGTTTCTTTTCTTATGGAGAAATGTTTGATCTTCTTAATACTACTACGTCTTATAATCCTATTGTCTCAGTTTTACATTTTGATTCTATTTGTACTCTTTGTTATGAGATTTGTTTTTAATTTTACTTTTTCGCCTGGCAAACTCCCATTATTTAATAATATTACTATTAATTATTAAAACACACAGATTTTATATTGAAGTATATCTATCAAATCAAGAAATCTCTTTGAAGCTACATATAAGTGCATTAGATATAAATTATTTATAGCTGAGAAAAACGTTTATTTGTTCTAAAAATATATAAATAATTTATAATTAAAAAAAAGTTTTATATATTTAGTATGTTAAAAAATTAATTTAATTTTTTTATAAGATTAGATCTATATCTAAATAATTAGATTAAAACAAATCAGATCATCAATTCTAAGATTTTCACGAACTATATATAATTTAACTAAAATATTATACAAATAATACTGAATTTGAATCATCTGTTAGACGAGAAAACTCTACTTTAATATCTTCAATATCAGCATTTAAGTATTTTTTTAAACCTTTAAGGGTGATTTCTGAACTATTAAGAGATAATATCTCGAAACAAATTTCAGTATTAGACACTGTCAGTACATCTTTTCTTGATGTTGTTAGAGCTAAAAATAAATTTGAATTAATCTCATCTTCTAATTCAAAATCTTTAAATAATTAATCTATTTTTTCTTCAATATTATAAATATTTAGATATTTTTAAAATAATTAGATTAATTCTGTTTTACTCATTAATCCATCCATATTCATATCTCCTTCTAAAAATAATTTTTGAATCTGCAAGTACTCTTCCCAATTAAACTCTTATACAAAGAAAACTATAATTAGTTATTGTAGCAAACAACATGGTTTTGCCTCTAAGATATTACTAAGCAAGATTTCTTATTCAGATTTATGTTTTTATTAATATTTAGTTATAAAAGCTAAACTTAACAATTCTTCTAAATTAGCCCTTTAAATTGGATTCGAATTTAAAGAATGAGAAAGAAATTCTTTAAATATTTCATCCTTTTTGTTTTCAAATTTAAAAACCTGATTCTTAACTAAAATTCTTAATTTTTCTTTTGTTAATTATTTTGGTAACTCATAAGGAAGACCACCTTTTCTTAATGTCAATCCAATTAATGCAATAGCCCATACATCTCTAGCTACATCTTATTTTGGATTATAAATACACTCTGGAGATGTGTACTTAATTACTTCCAAATCATCTTCTAATTTTATTACTATTCCTTTTAAATTTGATAATTTCACAATTATTCCATCAGATTTCTTTTAATATGAAAATGAATTAATCGTAATAGCTCCATGGAAAAGTTATTGTTGGTGCAAATAATGAATTGCTTACATCATTTGATTTAAAACCTAAGATACTTCAGGTTTAGATAGTTTTGTTCCATCAGCAATTAATTCTGATAAATCATTCTCTTCAAAGTGATCCGAAACAACTTAAAAATATTTGTGATCTTAAAAGATTTCTGATACTCTTATAATGTTAGGGTGGTCCTAACAATAAAAATTAATAATACAATTTTATTCTTCATAAGCCATTCTATGTAATTGACACTATCAGGATCATCCTTTCTAAAAGTCTCTAATTACATAATTTTTCCTGTCTTATTGTTTGAAATTATTGATATAGACTATGTATTTTATGAAATATTTACATGATTTCCTTGTTTTTTTCTAATCAGTGAATATTTTTTGAATGCACATCCAGGTAATAGAATATGATTTGAACTGCAAGTAGTGGCAGTGTAATTATTTGAACCATATTTCTTCAAAGTAATTCTTTTTTTTGTTCTCTAAGTGAGAATTACTCCTTCAGAAAGAGGAGATGTCTTATTCTCATTGTTTTTGGTTTAATCGATTTATAGGTTAAGATGTCTTCTAGGCATTTTTTGAGACATTTCTGTAACTTCAGTTTTAATTCTAATATGAGTTTAGGAAGTCTAAGTATTTATTTTCTTAGAATTTATAGATTTAGATTGACAAACACCCATATATATAATAAATAATAAACACCGCAATGGTTTTTTAAATCATTAAAAAGAGATTTGAAAAGATCATATTTATATTTAATTTATTATATGTATTTGTATTAAATCAAAAGTTGAGATTTAATTATTTTATACTAGAAAAATAATAATATAAATAAAACTTTCTTCTATTTAATTAATTATTAAATCAAATAAGCAATTTTAGTAGCTTTTGAAATTATTTGAGATTTAACTAAAAATAAGACTAAATAAATACTATTTTTTCTTCATTAGTTATACGAATAAATTCATCAATTAATTCATCAGAATCTGAATTTAAATGTCTTCTCAATCCTCTGAGAGTGATTTCTTTTTTACCATTTGAAAAAATCTAGAAACCTATCTCAATATTGTTTTAAGTGAGTAGAGTATCTCTACTTGCAGCCAAAGATTAAAATTGTTAAATATTTACTCTATTTTCTTTATTTATTCCATATTATAAAAAGACTTGATCAACTAAATCTTCAGGTTTAGATTCATTCAAATATTATTTATAAAGATTAGATAATTCCTCTTTACTTAAATATCCATCCATATCTTAATCACCTTCAGAGAATAATTTTTAAATTTAAAGATATTCTTCCCAGTTGAATTCTTGTAAAAAGTAGCAAAGTATCATTTCTTATAGAATACAACCTGGTTTTGCTAATTTAGTATTATTCAATAAGATTTCTTATGTTGATTGTAGTTTGACTTTATTCTCCTTTAAGAATTCTTCCTATTATAATTGATTTAAGGTTATTCTAGTTTTTGAATGATGAACAAGCATTTTCTAAATAAATTTTGTAATTAATAAATCTGGTTCATTAAATTGGATTGTAGTTACTTTTATTATTGATAAAGCTTTAGGATAATCAATATTGGATGGGAAAGTATATGGTAAATTACCATATGTAAGAGCATAACAAATAATTCCCAAAGCCCAAATATCTCTAGCAGTTGTATAATTATCAGGATGATTTAAGCATTCTGGTGATGTAAATTTTAATACTTCTATTGATTCAGAGTCTTTTATTTTTACTTTTTTTAGATCAATTAATTTTATAAGAATTTCATTCTTTTTTCTTTTAAATTAAAATGAGTCGAGAGTCAGATTTCCATGAATTAAGTTTAAACTATGCAAATATGAAATTATAGAAATTATTTGTTCCATAATTTAGTTTATTTAAATTGTAGGAAGCGGATTTTCTTCAGATACAAGATCTGATAATGATTTTCCATCAAAAAATTCATAAATCACTTAATATGAATTTTAATCTTGGTAAATTTCAAGAATACGATTGAGATTAGGATGATCCTAGTATAATAAATTATAAGATTATACCAATTAGGCTTTTGATAACCATTTCACATATGATAATGCTTCCTCTTCTTCTTTTAAAAATGTCTCCATTTCTACAATTACTCCACTCTTATTATTAGATAATATTTGTTTAGACTATAAAATTCAATCAATATTTTACATCATGTCCTTTAAGTTTCTTCATAAGCGAATATTTTTTAGAAGCACTCATTTCAAGAATCAGAATTTGACCAGGTTATGGAGAATTCGAGATATATCCGGTCAATTTCATTAATCCTGCTTTAGTTTATTGACGTCTTGGCACAAGGTATCCAGCTGATTTAGGTGAATTTATTTAATTGAAGCTATTTATTTACAAAACACCAAGATGTTTAGATCCTGTTTCTTCAGTTGCAGTAAATTCAGTCTTTACTCTATCAGCTTTATTATTCACTTTTAATTTTGGACATGCTGGATTCTTTTTCGCTTACGTTTAACAAATACCCATTTTAATGTTATTTATTTAAATTAGATAATATGAAATAGAAAATGATTTGATTATCATCAATTATACAATTTAATTGATTGATCATTTAAAAAAATATGTCAAAGTTTATTTGAAAATAAAAAATTTCAGTCATGAATATTTTTATTATTATTTCTTAATTGGATTAAAATGTTATTTATTCGAAATAAATTAATCATTATCTACAATAAACTTATTAATTATATTTATTGATATTCAAAAATTATATTAAGGTTAGATTACATCTAATTTCTTTCAAGAGAATATTATCTAAATATAATAAAAATTTAATATCCTTGATGCAATTTTCAATGAAAAATAAATCTAATACTGAGAAGAGAATATTATATAAATAATCAAAAGATAACATCATCAATTTGTAATATACTTAGAATTTAGTTATATCAGAATTATGAAAATCTTTCCATTCTTTGAATTCAGATGGTTTCACTAAATTGCGCTATAATATTATTTCTTTTTCTTTGAAATAAACAAATTCTTAAAAATTTAAAAAGAAGATGTCTCAAATAATCAATATCAGGTTCATTTAATAATTTCTTAAGCAAATGGACGAGTTCTTTCAGAATGGATGCTTCTATTATTTTAGATGATAAATTAATTATCAACAATATTATACAATATAGATGCTGATAATAAAGTTAGATCAACTGATATCTTTGTGAATGGAGAAAGTACTCCATCCCTCAAACGATAGACAAAAATTTTACACAAAACATATATCTGCAATTTATAAGTAAAATAAAGTAATTGGATTTTTATTGCAAACTCCTTTATGTATAAATAAGATTATTCACTTATCTTGATCATTCTTTAGATTGAATTAGCCAATAGAGTATTTGTATTCATAAAATTAGGCTTAATCATCCTAAGGAATTAGAAAATTAATAGCTGCTTTTTTAAAATTCTCAAGCATTTATTAAATTTAATAAATAAACAAAAATGAAGTGTAATAAATTTTTTTAGATCAATTTATTAATTACCCATACTATATTTTAGATCCTCTTGTATTCAACTCTATTAAAAAGAATCTTAATTTTTAATTTATCAGAAAATAAAATAATTTTGTATATTCATAATAATAATATATTTATTTTAATGAAACGTAGTTAACCTAGCAAAGAAGATTTATTAAAAGAAGAATATGTGACAACTTTAACATACTTCTTACGTGATAGTAGTGTTTATGATTGTTTATCTATAAATAATCAAGTTTCTGTTGTTGATATGACATTGTCTCTTTTTGATACTTTCAAAATTTTTATTGATTCTCATGTTGATGAAGTATTGTTTTGGAATCAAGAGATTGCTAATTATGATGGTGTATTTACTTAGACAGATCTCATCAAAACTGTTTTAAAGTGTTATTACAACGTGCTTTATGAAATTCCAAATAGTAATTTAATAAATCTATTTTTAGATAGTTTGGACAACAAATAATATAGCAACCATTATTGAAATGGAGAATGAAGATGAGTCATATTCACCAATCAAGAGAACCATATATGGTAGATTAACTATAGATTAATTCAATTAATTATTATAAGATTTTAAGAATATTTCTGTCAAGGTTTGGTTTAATAGTGTTGGAGAAAATTTGCATTAGAATTGTCTTATAAAAGCAGAATTAGATGAAAATTTAAATGATGTCTGCTAAAAATTTATTACAGAAAATATTACTAGAATTATTGTTATAGAAAAGGAGTCGAAAATGGTAGCAGGAATTATTTAACAAAAAGATATTCTCAGTTTTCTAGTAAAGGGGTTTAGTTAATATTTTGCTTTAAAGAAACATTAAAATAAAACAACTACTATCCATAATGAATAACATGAATTACAAATGGAATATTTTAAGGATGAAGCAACAAAATTATAATTTACTCTTCCTGCAGATATTCCTGTTTATGAGTATCAATTAAATTGTATTATTAGTCTATTTTATAAATTAATTTACATTTACAAAAGGAATACTATTGCTATAGTCGATAAATATAATAAATATTTGGGGTTGATTGATAGAAGAGATTTCTTGTTTATTCTGAAATATTAGATGTTTGATATAGTAATAGCTAATTATTATTTTTAATAGTTAGCATCTACAGCAGAAAAGTTTTTGTCACTTATTAAAACTGAAGATTCCAAATATTTGGCTTATTATATAAGGAATAAAGAATAGTTTACATTCAAGCAAACATTAAAGCAAGTAAATCAAGTTATCAAATATATATTAAGGTTGTTGAAAACCTTTTATTGTCACCTAGAGGCAGTTTAGTATGTTTAGATAATGAAGAAAGAGTGGTTTCGATATTTTAAATATCAGACCTATTTAAAATATTTGTAACAGATAATTAGAATATAGAAAATTCTGGATGATGAGAATATTTTTATGTTTAATTAAAATTGTTTGAGATACCTAAGTATTAACTAGATAGTAATTTATGTAAGTATTAATTAGATAGTAATTTTATGAAGCATTATTATCATAGTTCAAATATTTTTATTTTTAAAAAAATTAAATTAATGTAAGGCCATACTTTAGCTATAAAGACATTTACAGATTGGAATAGTTAAGTTCTTTCTAATCCAAAACCTGTCATTGTTGATTTCTATGCGGATTGGTATTTATTTAAAGATACAATATATATCAGGTGTGGTCCATGCAAAATGTTAAAACCTAAGCTCCACTCTCTCCATGAACAAAGTTAAGGAAAATGGGAATTAGCAGTAGTCAATGTCGATATTGAAGAGTTATAATAGATTTCAAGCAAATATGCTGTAAGAAACTGTAACCATTTATTAGAACAAAGGAATTCCAGCAGTTTATTTATTTCATAAGGGATAAGAAATAAGCAATTTTTTGGGTAACAATGAAGCAAAGGCAAAAGAAATGGCTACTAAAGCAACAACTTTATGAGTTAAAATATATATTTTATAGATAAAAATGCAAATAAATTTTGATAGGATTATTCAATAAAGACTGCAACATTTATTATTTGTTTTTTTAGCATTTTTATAGAAATCCAGACTAACACTGCTCATGTCTTTTGATTTTGCCATTAATGATTCTAAAGTTTCTCCTCTTTTTAAAAGCTAAATTCTTAAAATTAGTATATACATCATCCAAAGATTAATGCACAATCATAGTGACTTCATTCAAAGTATTCTCAATCTTAAGCAGTTTATCGACTTCTTTAGGATCTTAATAAACTTTTATGAATTCTTCAAATTTAGGTATATTTATGTTTTAATCAGCTGTAAAATGATGAAATATGATGAATACCGATTATAGTGTCTAAGAACATTGAATTGTATTGACGATAGTATTCTTAATACATATTTTGAATAACCATAAAAGCTACTTTTTCCGGATATTAATCATCAGCTATAACAAGAGCTGCTAGATTATTTTTGTCTATGCATATATATGACACAACATGAGCATCTTGATTAGTAACAGCACTTTTAGTACCTGGTTTGGCTCGTCTATTAAATTTATATTATATAGAATACGCTGCACATGTTCTAGCACCAAAATTGAGAGTTTCTTTAAAAAAAGGACGCTAAAACCAACTAAAAAATATATTATTGGAAATTTGTACTTTACAAACGAGAGTTCATAGTGTGAGGATATAAAAATTGGATTTTCAGGATGATATTTCAAGAGGTACATTGCTATAATTCTCATTTTGCTCTTATCTATTATTTAAATTATTAAAAATGCAATAAGATCAACCTAGAGAAATGGCTTAAGTGGTTTCTATAGCAGAAAACGCCTAATTTTATAGATTGATTTAGAATTCCAGAACAAAGGTTTTTTAAGGAAGTGTAAAGCTGGCATAATTTTAAGATTCAAAAACTCATTTCATTACTATTGAAAAATTCTGTCAAAATATTGTTCCTGGCACACCTTTTGTATATATATAGTCTGAATCTGGATTGACTCTTATATTTCCTCATATAGACTAAGGTAAATTGAAGAAAATATATTATGTTTTAGGTTTAAATGGAATCTTTATTCCACAAAGTGACTTATTGAGTGCATTCCAAACAGCCTTAAATGCAGTAGTTTCCATGGTACCATTTGATTAAGCAATGTAAATTCAACAATTCAAGGACACTATTGAACTTCATTGTAGAGACATTGCTACTAACACTTTAGATAATCCTAATGATGCTGCATCTTATATTACAAAAGGAGGAGAGTAAATTTTATTATTTTAATCCTTATAGTTATTTAAAGAAGGGATTCATGTTTTTAGGAACAATGATGGCAACAGGAATCAATAAAGGAACTTAATATTTGAATGATAAAATTTAACCAGGTTAAGAAGTTTAAGTTGATCCAAATACTAAGACAAAGTTTTAGGCTACCAAAGAGAAAGTTAGTGAAGTTTTCGATGTAACAGGACAATATCTTGGATAATTATTTAAGCCTGTAGCAGAAAAAACCAAAGAGTTAACGAATGAGCTTGGATAGAAGATTGATAATTCTGATAATAAGAGTAAATATATTATTTATTCGGATTTATAGTTTTGAAGTAAAGTAAATAATTGACATCAGCTACTTGGGATGCAGCAGGAACAGCTCTTTCAGGATTAGGAACTGCTTTATGTTAAGTTGGAAGTTCTATTGGAAATGGAACAAAACAAATAGTTTAAAAGAAATATGGAAATGAAGTTGTTAATACTTATCTAGGCGGAGATTAGCAACAACAGTAACTACAACAATAATAATAACAACAATAATAATAGTTGGATCAATATTAGCCATTAATTGAGGAATAACCAGCACCATCTTCATGAAAAAATATCATATAATTATTATCATAAGTAAAATTTCATTAGTAATTTCTCAATGAATCTTCCCATTAACTAAGATGGAAGGCGAATAGGAACTTAAAATACAACAGTATTTTTTTCTATTAGGCCGAAATATTTCCTTAAATATTGAATCAATTATAAATGAGCTTTTTATTTAATCTTTTTTGGATATTGTAATGCTTCCATTGTTTTACATAAATTTCCTTTTGACTGAGATAAAGATAAAAAGCGTTTAACTAAATTTGTGTAGGCTAAAAATAATAACTACAATTAAGGATTCAGAAAGGGCATAAAAAATTTAGTGAGTAAAATCTTTTTATGCACATTTTACTTATTCTTGATTCCCATTATATAGTGACAGTTATCAATAATATTTTGTATGGGATAGAAAATTAAGATAAGAATACAAATAGCTGTAAACATGGCTGCTAGAAAGATGCCAATAGCAATTTCTAGAAACTGAATTGCCTCTGATTATAGCTTATTTAACATTTCCTGTGTCGATTTAAGTTAATAATTATGGTAATCAGTAGTGTCATGGAATCTTAGCTAAGTTGATTCAATATTTACATCATAAAGAGATAGTTAAATTTCTTTATTTCATGAATTGTTATCACCAAATCCTTATCATACACACTATTATAACGACATAGTAAACTCGAGTTCTTAGGATATGATGAACAATTGCTTTGTTTAGTTTCTTTCATTGAAGTCCAGTCATCTAATGTGAATCCTGTAAGAGATGTATTGAAGATGTAGATTGGTAAGAGAGTTAAACTAACATTGTAACTATGATAAATTAATAAACCTTTAGAATCAGCTAAAAGAACCATATGAACGTTTTGATCCGTTTTAACTACAAATTTATTTAAATCTGTGCCTAAATCTGAGGCCATCACTCCTTTCAAATTCATATCTTTATCAAGTAAAGGCATTACCAGTGTTACCTCAATTTTGTCTTTTGTAAATTCTATATATATAACTAATTAAAGTTACAAAGAAAGGGATCAGTAAATTGATAATCATAGTCACTAAAATTTGATTGATTATACACACTTATACCTTTTAAAAACCAAGGACGCTTTGGAATATTCAATCCATATATAGCTTGTTGAAAATTTGTACATGGATAAGAAAAATAAACTTAAGGTTCCTCCAAAGTTCCTACATAGAAAAGCGATTTGATGTTTAATTTGTTTGCAGCCAAAATATGACCAATAGGATACATAGTCTCTTAAATCTTTAAATTTATCAATGTAATCTTATTCATTGGGTATGTTATGTTAGTTTTATTTGTATAGCACATAAAGGAATGAGTTTTTTACAATGAACCTGGTGGTTAATCCACAAGTATTTAAGGCATTTTATTTGTACCTGCATAATTCATATGAGCTCTATAATCTAAAGTAATATTATCTTCTTTTTCAAGGTTTCGATAAGACTATGTATAAATTTTATGGAGTATCTGTAATTAGTGAATATCTTGATTTTTTTAAAATATTACTTATATGAAATATCCCATTTAGAATACCATCGTAACTTCTCAAATGACTTTGTAACGTGTGTTTCGCATTATTATTATATATATCAAAAGATGATTATTCTAAAAGAGGAACAATTATTGCCATATTGACCAAATAAATTCCTAAAACAACTCCTAACATCAAGATAAAAATAATTGAGAATTGAAGTAATGCTTGATTTCTCATTCGAAGCTTCCAAAACCAGTTATCGAAGTAAATAGGGATTTCTTTCAATTCTTTAAGAAGAACATTTTATTAACTTCCTTTCATCTCTTTTATTTAATAAATATATAACATAAAGTAAATCGAAAAATCTGATTTATAAATCTTAAATTAGGATTAATGATGAAAGAAATTTAATTAGCAAATTGTGTCTCTTGGAGTAATAAAATTTTTATTTTGTCATAATTATATTGATTAAGTAAGATTTGCCTTAAAAAAATCTAAAATGTTTGGAAATAATAATATCATTAAAACTAATGTTGTTTTTATACAATTTTATGCAATAAATTCTTCATCATTCAGTATCTTGAACTGCAATGACTTCAACCTCAACTAGACCTCCTTTTGGTAATTATTTAACAGCGATACAAACTCTTGCTGGATAATCACCATCAAAGAATTTAGCATAGGCTTCATTGACTTTTGCAAAGTCAGCCATATCGACTAAATAGACGATACATTTAACAACATTCTTAAAGCTTGACTTTGATGCTTCCAACAAGATTCCAACATTTTTCATAGCCTGAGTAGCTTATTCTGCTACATCTTCAGATATTAAATTTCCAGTCTATTGTACATAGATTTTTAGTGATTACTTCTGGAATGATGCCCAATTATCCTGATAAATAGACTAAGTTGGCTGTTGAAGCAACAATTTTACCGGCTGAATATGGACCAATTGCTTTGAATTTGTCTGTGTGAACTGTGGTGACTTATTGCTACATTAATTGGTATTAAATTTTTTTCAAAATTTTTATTAAAGATTTGAAATCATGGTAATGCTTCTCATAATATTCTTTAGGGAAAACAACCAACTTAAGGTTAAAAGAAAACAAAGGATTAGATTGCTAAAGCTGCATCACAAAGAAGTAAATAAACAAAGAAGGTATTGCGTCTTATTTGATTATGCACAATAGAAATGGACTAAGGGAAGAGCAAAGGATAAGTTGAACAATGCCGTATTTTTGGATTAAGGATCCTACAAATAAATTGAGACCTAATTACCTAAAATGGGTGCATTGATCACAGTTTCAACGGTGTCAGATAAATTTAAAGTAAATGGGTAAATATTGCTTTTATAATAATAATCATAGTTCTTTAGCCAGAAGATGCATTAGACATTTTGCAAAATCAGGTTTATTGGTTCCAGCTGGTGAATAAAACTCTAAATAATACATCTTCACTGTCAATGCTTAAGTTGTAGCAGCCTAGAAAGCCGCTGCTGCTGCTGCTGCTGCAGATAAGCCATAAGCCTAAAAGAAAGCTCCAGCTAAGAAATGAGTTTATAATTTAAGTACATTACAAAAATCATTTATGTATTTATAAAAAGAAATTATTACAAATAAATGCAAACATGTCAACTTTGCTTTAAAAATACAGCGTTGATTTAGTTAATTTGCTCTCATCATATCTGTCTTAAATGCACAAATAAAAATAAACAATTGTAATAAAGGTACTTGTATCTCATAAATATATCAAAAAGTTAATTATAAAACAAATATTGGATTCAATGCTCAATATGTTAAAAGAAAACTTTTAGCTACGACTTTTCAAATCTTTTAATTGAATCTCATGAATTGAGTTTACTTACTGACAGAAGTTAACATCAATTTTAATTGAATGAAGTAAATTTTATTTTAATATCAACTTTTCAACACTTTAGAGTTAACTCATTATTGAACCATAAATATTCTAACGTCGCAGATCCATGAATGCTATTGATTTATTTACAAAAAATCCATCACCAATTAGGTAGGAAAAGTCGAAAAATCCAACTTAAAAATTAAAACAATCTATCAAAAATGTTAATAAATAAAATCTTCTTAAATAAAGTACTCAACTCAAATAAACTTCTGATAAAAAGCCCTATCATAAGAGATGTTAAACTGGAATTGTTGAAAATAAATAAGGTTGTTAAAACATTAAATATCTTAGTCATAAATAGTATGTTAAACTTCTAAAAATTAACAAAACAAAAAACAAGTCCCATTTAAAAATGCAGTTCTATATTCGACTATCTTTTGAGTCTCTCTTACCAGCAAACATAAATATCAGATATAAAAAAGGTTAGTCTCGCTAATTCCTCGAAAGTTGAAAGCAAAAAAAAAATTAAAAGTAGGTGTCATAGTCAAATATAAATCAAATAGAAAATTAAAAATTGATTTCATGTCAATCGAAAAATTAATCTCATATATTTTTAGTTTATAATTTAGAATATTCTTATTTAAATAAATGATACTTTCAACATATAATTATTAACTTTAATGAATTTATCAATCAAAAATAATTTTTGAATTCCTGAAACTTATCTAAAACACTTTTTTTTAAGCTAAAAATCTCAAATATTATCATCATTATTTCGAAAAGAAAAATTTTGTTTTAAAAACTTCTCAAAAAATATTCAGTACTAATCATTTTTTTTATTAAACAAATTCTAAAAGTTTTAGTTTTTTAAATGAATTTATACAAAAATAATAGAATTAGACAATAATGTATCAACATTATAATGATAAATAAAAAATTAAGTTAAATATAAAATATTATGAATTTTACAATTTGTATGATTGACGATAAAAATAGGTTGTAATTTTAAACTTAAGATCAATCAGCTAAAGCACAAAGTATGTATGAATATGTTCGTTGGAAAATTAATCATGAAAATTTTGAAATTTATTATTACTTTTTGGAATAAGATTGTTAATTACTTTAAGTGGGGGATGATCTTAAAGTTCTTTATGATAAAGAGGCTAATTTTTTTATTACTATAAATAATGATAATTAGGGTTAACAAAAATATTAAGGTCAATTAAATAATTAAGCCCTAGGAAGCGAATTTATAGGGATATAATGTTTTATAGGATAAGATTAACAACCATTTTTTTAAGAATATGTGGATCCAAATTAATAACTTGGATAAGTAATAATAAAACATCATAATAATAGTATATCGATTAAGTGAATTAAAAAACCAATAAAAAATTTGATACTTTTACTCTTCATGATATTTATGGACTTCAACTGACACAAGACCCAAACTAATATCTTTAAACATTTATTTAATATGAAGTGTTAAATTTGGTTCTCCATGAAATCTAAATACCTTAACCAAAACCTGTTATCACTATATAATGTTTTATGGACTCAGATTAGCAACTATTTTTGTAAGAATAAGTCGATCCAAATATATTGATTGGATAAGTAATAATAAAATATAATAATAATAGTATATCGATTAAGTAAAATAAAAAACCAATAAAAAATTTGATACTTTTACTCTTTTAAATAATAATGGAGTTCAACTGACACAAGACCCAAACGAATATCTTTAAATATTTATTTAATATGAAGTGTTAAATTTGGTTCTCCATGAAATCTAATTACCTTAACCAAAACCTGTTATCACTATATAATGTTTTATGGACTCAGATTAGCAACTATTTTTGTAAGAATAAGTCGATCCAAATATATTGATTGGATAAGTAATAATAAAATATAATAATAATAGTATATCGATTAAGTAAAATAAAAAACCAATAAAAAATTTGATACTTTTACTCTTTTAAATAATAATGGAGTTCAACTGACACAAGACCCAAACGAATATCTTTAAATATTTATTTAATATGAAGTGTTAAATTTGGTTCTCCATGAAATCTAATTACCTTAACCAAAACCTGTTATCACTATATAATGTTTTATGGACTCAGATTAGCAACTATTTTTGTAAGAATAAGTCGATCCAAATATATTGATTGGATAAGTAATAATAAAATATAATAATAATAGTATATCGATTAAGTAAAATAAAAAACCAATAAAAAATTTGATACTTTTACTCTTTTAAATAATAATGGAGTTCAACTGACACAAGACCCAAACGAATATCTTTAAATATTTATTTAATATGAAGTGTTAAATTTGGTTCTCCATGAAATCTAATTACCTTAACCAAAACCTGTTATCACTATATAATGTTTTATGGACTCAGATTAGCAACTATTTTTGTAAGAATAAGTCGATCCAAATATATTGATTGGATAAGTAATAATAAAATATAATAATAATAGTATATCGATTAAGTAAAATAAAAAACCAATAAAAAATTTGATACTTTTACTCTTTTAAATAATAATGGAGTTCAACTGACACAAGACCCAAACGAATATCTTTAAACATTTATTTAATATGAAGTGTTAAATTTGGTTCTCCATGAAATCTAATTACCTTAACCAAAACCTGTTATCACTATATAATGTTTTATGGACTCAGATTAGCAACTATTTTTGTAAGAATAAGTCGATCCAAATATATTGATTGGATAAGTAATAATAAAACATAATAATAATAGTATATCGATTAAGTAAAATAAAAAACCAATAAAAAATTTGATACTTTTACTCTTCATGATATTTATGGACTTCAACTGACACAAGACCCAAACTAATATCTTTAAACATTTATTTAATATGAAGTGTTAAATTTGGTTCTCCATGAAATCTAAATACCTTAACCAAAACCTGTTATCACTATATAATGTTTTATGGACTCAGATTAGCAACTATTTTTGTAAGAATAAGTCGATCCAAATATATTGATTGGATAAGTAATAATAAAATATAATAATAATAGTATATCGATTAAGTAAAATAAAAAACCAATAAAAAATTTGATACTTTTACTCTTCATGATATTTATGGACTTCAACTGACACAAGACCCAAACTAATATCTTTAAACATTTATTTAATATGAAGTGTTAAATTTGGTTCTCCATGAAATCTAAATACCTTAACAAAAACCTGTTATCACTATATAATGTTTTATGGACTCAGATTAACAACCATTTTTGTAAGAATAAGTCGATCCAAATATATAGATTGGATAAGTAATAATAAAACATAATAATAATAGTATATCGATTAAGTAAAGTAAAAATACAATAAAAAATCTGATAATTTTACTCTTTATGATATCACTGGAGTTCAACTGACACAAGACCCAAACTAATATTTTTAAACATTTATTTAATATCAAGTTTTAAGCTTGACACTTTATCAGACTTAGCCCTTGCTAAAACCTATAAATTATTAGTCAAAGTAGTCTTTTTCTAAATAATATTAGAATTGCTTAAATGAAAGAATCTATTCAATCTTTTAAGAATTTTTCACTTTACTTTGATCCATCAGGAGAATTTGTTATCTACAAATATCATTTACCAATTCAATTTGAAGGTTGTATAAAAAAATCTAAAAGTACCTCGAGTAGTAATAAGTATTTCACCGATTCTGAATATAAATGGTTTAGTGCTCATCAAAAAAAATATGAGTTTGCAGAACTTGATCAATACAGTTTTGCTATTAAATGGGAAGGAGGAAATTTAAGTATCTTAAAATTAAAATAAAAGTGATTTATGTTTTCAGTTTTTAATTATAAAATATTATTTTATCGTTTATTGAATAGATGAATATACTTGTACAAAATGAGAAAATGCTAATTCTGTTTTCAAATTATCAAAACCAAATAAAATTTATATTTTTTTAAGTTATCAATAAATTTATATATATAAATTCGATAATTTGAAACTCAAAAATGTAAATAAGGTTTTATTAAGAGAAAGGAAAAATATGACTTGAAAGAATCAATTTTATAGATAGTTTATGAAATGGATGATTTTATAGTGATGCTAATAATATGAGGAATTTGGATGACTTAATTTTGTTCCTTGAAAAGTTGATTTAGTTTGAATCAACGTCAAAATAATTATTTAAATATTTTTTATCCAAAAGTCTCGTTTTAGAAAAGAGTCCTGGGTAATCTAATTTTAATTTGAATTAAGATCAAATGCATCAAAATACATGAATTGTTTGTTCAATTTAAAATTAGAAATCTTAAGTTATTTACAAGAATAGATGGTAATGGAAAAATTTAGATTTATAGTGAAAATCAAATAGAAAGAAGACATTTATAAGTCTTAGATGAAGGCAGTGATTATTTTAGAAGAGAAGGGTAATATAATTTAAATTAATTTTTAAAATAAAATAAGATAAAATAAAAAGATTAGCAAGAATGAACATTAGAAATATACATCTTTCAACAGAAAAATTGAAAAGAAGCAAAACTTTAAAGTTTCTAAGCTTAGTCATTATGCCGCTTCAATTTTGAAATAGTTTTGGAGAGTATAGTATATTTCAAGTAAAAAATACACATTGATTCTGAATGCTCTGTTTGGAGATGATGCCAAATCGCTATTGTTGCTTTTTATTTGAGTGTTAACTTAGCTTTTGATGGATTGAACATTATTTCTACCGTAAAACAGTATTACTAATAGTTATAATAATGTCTTAAAATGAAATCATACTGTCAGTTGAAGAGGATTACTTTTTTTCCTTCCTCTGTTTAATAAAATTTCTATAATATATTGATGTAAATATATTCAGTTAAATGGATTTAGATGGAGAGGGGGGATAAGTCTAAAACACAAGAGAATCATAAAAATGCATGAAGAGCATGATTGGTGAGTTTGAAAAGATTACTGAAATTTTAAACACTTGCTTTAGGATTTAGAAATAAAGGAACAAATACTATAAAAATAAATATGATGAAGAAAGGTGATGTGGCTACAATTTTGGCTTGAAAAAGGAATATTTATTGTGATATCAGAAATTTCAAATAATATATCTTTAATAGATAAATGAATTTAATCAATAATGTAGGAGACATAGTTCATACAAGGGTGGATAGATACAATAAGAAAAGGAAATATAATTATTAGTTTTGACTTTTTATTGGGAAAGAGTACTAAACCGAAACATATTTTTATGAAGAAGACAATATAATTTGGCATGAGAAATAGTAAATGAAAATGAGATTACAGATCATTATTATAGTTTAATTTTATCTGATTCCGCTTTGATTTGACTCATGAAAATGAAAGCAAAATAAATCAAAGTGGAGAATTTCAAGTTGAGAGTATCTTGAGAATAAAAAAGATGTAAGATTATTTTTCAGCAGATTCAAAAAAGATTTTATGGTAAATGTTTTTGTATAATGAGAATAGTATGTTTTAAAAAAAATCTTTTAAGCTTATTTGAATGACGACTGAAAGACTGCTCATGCCACCTTCCAAGAAGCACTCTAACTCAAGCCTAATGATGGTTCAGCAAAAGTTGTTTGCAATTGTATAGAGGAAATAAACTATCAGAAACCCAGTGATTGGAAATGATTTAGGGAATTAACATAGAAATGATTAATATTAAATAATGAATAAGTTTACACTGAAGTTCTTTAACTCATAATTAGAACTCTAATACCAAAATGAAAAAATTGGCAAACTCAGGAAACCTGTGTTTTATGTGTTTATGACACTTGGCTTAATTCTCAATGTCTTGAAAGTCCTCCTCGATTTAGGTAAGTTGTCACCACTCAATCAATATATTAATTATATTCTGATGGCTTTAGCTGTGGTTTTGATTGTGATTAGCGTGAAATGGCCTCTTTACATTAGATACACTCTTTTGATTGCAAATATTTCAAGTGCCTTGCTTTAGTTGAATTTTCCTGAAAACACTAAATCATAATTTTACTATAGTTACGGGAATAATTTTATGTAATTTTAAGCCTGTGCTTATTTCGTCTCAGATTTTTTAGATAGTGTAGTCTAAGTCATATGTCACACCATCATTAAACTCATTATAACAATCTAAACAACCTAACATGTTGATCCATAAGATGTTCTTATGGGAATAGGTGCTGCCATCATGATCATCATTGTCATTTATATTTGTGATTCCAATGCTAGAAACGAGTTCCTCTCCAAAATTTGCCAGACTCTCTGGCATTAATAATTATCAGAACTTATCAGATCTCCTTTCTTTCAAGTCACCTATTGTCAAAGAATGCTTTAATTTAATTTTCTTAATGGCAAAGATATAATTCACTTCCCTTTATATGACGATCAGCTCTGTAATGGGTGCAATATGAGAAACTTTTTAAGGCACTATTAGTTCCAAGGTTAAGAATTAGAATAGTTCTTGATTAAAAACTAAGAAGGTACTCTTAAAATAAAACTTTCTAAACATAAATTTAATTTGAGAATTGTCAATGTCGGCATTGATAAAATCAACAAGATCATTATCTTAGATGATCATTATTCCTAAAATATTACTCTTGCTTCTGATATCAAAAAACCTATTAAAATCTATATCTAGCAAACTTCGCACCATAATTATCAGTTTTTCTTTAATTGGGGAATCATTTCTTTGTTACTTATTAATGATAATACCATTTAAGAAATTTCATTGGCTAAGATTTTAAGTCGTTTCAATTCCAAATTTTCCTCATTATCAAAAATCAAATTTCTGTTTAAAGGGGATAGTACTCTCACATTTTTTAGTTACTCTAATTTAATTAGAGTCTATTTAATTCAAATCTATTAAATCATCATGCATTATTATGAATCTCAAGAAAAAAAAATAAATCAAAAAATTCCCTAATCTAAACCTTTTTTAATAGTAATGATAATTTATAAAGATTGTGACTCCATTGTGTTATAATTACCTCAAATAATCAACTCATTTTTTTTCATCAGCAAATATACAAAAAATTTTTTCATCGGATAAATTGAACATAAGATCCTAAACTCTCCATTAACCGGTGATCTGAAGATCTCTTTCAATACAAGTATCCCTTTTAAATAATTCTGAATCTAATATTTATTACAAAATAGATAATTAAATAAAATTTGTTTTAAAAAATTCTAATTGTTACCAAGTTATTTAATAATTTGTTTAAAAATTCCCGCTTTATGGCAAATAGAACTTACTTTAATTAAGATCAAAAAAGACTTTTTAAGCCTTAAGTTTAATTGGAGAAAAAGCAAGAAAATCCAACTAAAAAAAAGGTTGAATTAAATGAGATAAATGAAGAACCATAAAAATAATTATGGGATATCGATTTAAAGGATTGTGTCACAAAATATAAAGATACTATAGGGAGTAAGAAGAGAAAGGAATATGAAATTTTTAAACCAGGGGGATGTTTTATTAAATAAAAAAGTGAGGCTGAGAAGCCAAAAACAGAAAAAGAACTCAATAAAGAGATTAATCAAGTTATTAGATAAACTACTAAAGAGTTTTTTGAGGAAATAAAAATGGAAAAACAGCAAAAAGAAAATGAAAAAAACAAACTTAATGTTTAAAGTTAGAATGATGAATGTGAGATAAAAGATTAAAATTAGAATCAAAATAAAGAAAAATCGAATTAAGGGAATTAAATAAATGAAGAGGTAGGACAAGAGTAGAAGGAAAACAAAGAAAATGATAATATTAAGGTGGATTAAGGGTTATTAAAAAAAAAAGTGGGTAAATTTTAAAAAGGTTAGAATGGCAACTTTGTGAGGCTTGATCTTAAAAAAAAATATTAAGATAGATTTCGTGGAGCTATTTATATGAATTAAAGAAAATATAAAAGAAATGGTACTTTGAAAAATCCAAATCCTTCAAAAAGAGAGTAATCTTAAATTGATTTTTAACAACTTAATAACTAAGGACGCGCTGAATCTTGTATTTAAATTAATTAGATTTAGACAATATATTTATATAATCAGTTTCATCAGGATTATTGGTGGATATATTTGATGATGAGGAAAACATAAAAGAAAAGGAGAAGAATGAAGATCTTATAAAAGAATTAGTGAGCAAAGTTTAAGAAGATTTAGATAATAAGGAAAATTATCTAAATTTGTTAGAATTAGTTTTTGGATTTACAGAATTTCGTGAAGGATAATTTGAAGCAATTTCAAGTATTTTAAAGAAGGAATCTATCTTATTGGTATAAAAAACTGGACATGGAAAATCATTAGTGTATTAATATTTATCTTTGTTTCTATAAGACAGTATAGGTATAATATTTTCTCCTTTAATTTCTTTGATGATTGATTAAGTTTCAAAATTGCCTGATTAAATTAAAGGTATAGCATATCATTCAATGCTTACTTCATTTTAGAAAGCTCGTCTAATTGAATTTATAAAAGGTAGATAAGTTCAGTTAGTCTATTGTACTCCAGAAATCTTTTAAAGTGATTTAGGTTATTCATTAGAATATTTTGGAAAAATCTCATTCATATGTATAGATGAGGCTCATTGCGTTTCAGAACTATCTCATTCCTTTAGACATACCTATGTGATATTAAATTAAATGATAGAAAGCTTTTTGAAGGATGATTTGCCTCCTTATTTAGCATTAACTGCTACTGCAACTAATTTGACAGTAGAATCAGTGTTAAAAAAGTTTAAAATAAATAAATCCATTATCTCTATTAATACTGAGAGAAGTAATATTGAAATCAGTGTTAGTAGAGATAGAGATGTCAATGCTTCATTGATAAAATTATTATAGAGTGTAAAATATAGAAATCTATCTTCCATCATAATATATTGTAGAAGCAAATATATGGTTGATGTGGTATCAAATTACTTAAAAAATTGTAATTTGAAATGTCTTGGTTTTCATGGAGGATTAACTGAATAAGAAAAAATGGATATTTAAAATAAATTTATTAGAAATTAAATATAGATAATTGTAGCAACATCAATATTTGCCATGGGAATAGATAAATCAGATATTAGAGCTATTATTCACTTAAATTTACCCAAGAGTATTGAATCGTATATCCAAGAAATTGGCAGAGCTGGTCGAGATGGAAAAATTGCATATGCTCATTTATTTTTAAGAGAGAATGATTTTCATTTAGAAAGATCATTCATTTTATCTGATTATCCTGATTTTATTGTTATGAAAAATTTGTTAGAAAAAATGAAATAAAAATAAGATGAAAAAAAAATTACTTATTTCATATCTAAGTATGCAGAAGAAAATTTGGATTTAAGGAAAGATACGATATATTCTCTGATGCAAATTTTAGAAAGATGTTCTAATGACAGTATCAAAGTTTATCCGATTTGTCATGAAAAGATAGTCTTAAAATTTTTTAAAACTTTGACTGAAGAATAGAAAGAAAAATCCTCTATTTTAAATGAGTTATTAAAAATAGGAAGAATGATATCTGGTAGTCTTCATGTAAATGTTATTAAGGCTAGTAATATTTTATCTATGTAACCGTTAGAGGTTATTAGATAAGCTCGAAATCTTTACACTGAATTATCTATTACTACTGAAACTTAGGAAGAGATTTTACCTTTTCAAATTATTAATGAAATTGATTTAAGCATTTTGGAAAAAGCTAATGAGATATTATAACTACACAAATCTGTTGCTTTAGATAAATTAAATTTAATGTATATTTTAGCCTACGAAAATTCAGTACCTAATTTTGATTTATTATCAGAAAATTTATTCTAGACAAAAAACTTTTTTTTTAATCAATATTTTAGGTCTTAGGATCCAGTTGAGGATATATTGAATGCTCTTTATAATGATGGAAAGCACAATATTAACGAATATTTACCATTTGATGAATTGGATAATGATTAACATAAATAAATTTAATAGGCAGTTAAGCGATTTTTACATGAAGAAACAGCTAATAAAAACAATAGTGAAACACATAAAATAACATAATCTTACCTAAAAAATCCAAAAATTTTATCAAGACTGTTTTGTGGAATTTAATCTATTAAATACTCATATAAAGAATATAGAAGTTCTTCTATTTGGAATAAGAGTGGCAGATTAAAATATGAAGATGTACATAAATCCGTAATTAATATTTGCTTATCAATTTTAGAATAAAATTGATAAAATAAAGAAATTAATTATTTTTATAAACATATTTTTTAATCTAAATTGTTATTAAATTATCGAAATTTTATTTTATTCTTATTATTCCTAAATGATAATTTATCTTTATATATATATTTTTTGAGAAATAAATAAAAAATGATAAAATTCAAATGTTTATTTTATAAATTTTAATGATGAAATTATCATAATTCTAATAAATGAAACCTATAAGTAGTTTAGATGTCTATATTATGGTATTAAATTGATCAAATATATCCTATTCTAGAGATAATTGGTTCTAACATATTTCAGGTAGAAATTGAATATGCTCTAACTTTGAAGGATTTTATTAGGTTCTGATCAATGAGACTTAATCTGTTAAATGTAGTTATGTATTTGTAAAATAATATTGAAACATAATAGTTCTGAGAACTGTAAAATTATTTTTGGATAAAAATTGAATACTCTATTATAAAAATACACATAAAATAATATTAGTTTACAGTAATAATAGTCTATCGGGTATGGTTGAAAGCTACTTTGATAATTTAATTTTAAAATAAGTCTTATAATTAGACCATAATTCTAAAGTTACTTTTGTATCATTGATTATAAGATATTAATTTTCTGAAATAGGTGTAAATTGAGAAAAGGGGTATCCAAAACGAACTTTTTCAATTTTCGATTAATTTTATATGTTATAAAGATGCAAAAGTAGATTTTATTTAATGAATAATGTATTTTACAAAAAGTAATGATCTGATAAGTGAGATTCAAATGAAATAGGGATTATGAGGAAAGTTAAGTTTTGTAAATTAAGTAAATTCAAATGTTAAACATGAGTGTAATAACAAAAATAGGATGAATTATCAGAGAAGAAAATGGTATCAGAATTTTGGTTAATTTGTTAGATGTTAAGAGTGATCATGCATTAAAATGATTTAGTTTAATAAATACTAACTTAAAGAAGTTCTTAATTATAATTAGATTAAGATTTGATTTAAGTGATTTGAGCGATGTAATTAGAATCATTTGATAACTAAATATGAGATGAATGTGTTATACTTTAAATCCAACAATATCTTAGATTTGTAAATCAATGAAATGCTCATAGGTGGCAATTTAAATTTGATTTTCATTTAGATGATTATTCATTAATTCTAAAGAATTATTATATAAATTGATGAAATAAGTTTGTAATTTATACCAATAGGGTAGATGTGAGAAAGGGAGAAAATGCAAATATATGCATATGGAGGAGAAGATTGAGAAACCAATAGAATAGGAATAGAAACAAGGAAAGATTTAGGTTTAAGCACAGAAGGTGCATTATCCAAAAATATTTAAGTGGACAGATTTATCAAAATTGGGAGATTCATAGGAAATACTATAATATAATTAAGAATTATTGGGAGGGGAGTTTTTAAAAATAGCAAAAGATTTAAAGAATGAAAAGGAGAAAGACATAATGCAATTATTTCGAAAATATTAATAAAGCATAAAATTGTTACCATAAGCTTAATGCAAATTTTTAGAATATTTAAGAATGAATGAAGAATTTTAAATGATATTTCGATTTGTACCTTCAATTGATAGAAAAGAATTAGAATTTAAGGAATAGGTGAAAGAAAGATATTTTGAAATTCTTATATAAATAGATAAGAGTTATCCGAAATCATCAGTTATAATTTTGAATTAATCATTGTCAGAATAATTTAAAGAGGGATTATAAAATAGGATGAGTGATGAAATTAATAAATAAAATGGATTGTTTTAAGGAATGAGATATATAGAAACACATTTTGATGAAGTTGTTTAAGGTTTATGATGATTTTTGTTTGATATTAAAAATAATTAATTTGATATTAAAAATAATTAATTAATTATGATTAAATATAATAGTGAAAATCATTTTAAGTTTCATAATGTAAAGGTGTTTGATAAAGAGAGAATGATATTGTATTTTAAGAGAATGCCAATAGAATAGGAAGATAATGATAATTTATATAAAGGATTGAATTAATTAATAATGAAGGAAAGAATAGAGTAGACAAAATAGAAGGTAGAAGAAGGTAAACAAGTAACAAGTAGTGTTAAAATGGATTAAGGAGAATTACCGAAGAATAGAACATTAATAATAATGAATTTTGATTATGCATTTGATCGTAAACATATAGCAAAAGTGTTTAAATTATGTGGAATAATAAGAAGAGTATATGTGGGATCAATGAAAGTAGCCGAGAATAATAAGAAGCGTTTGTTACATGTTGGTTTAGTGGTTTTTAAAAATGAATATGATTTGACGAAATGTTTCGACATTGAATATTTTTAGCACAAAATAAATAATAAATTTAAAAGTGCCCCAATTAGTAGTAATTATGAGAAGAAACTATTGTAAAACTATGAATCTGTGGATGAGAAGAAGAATTAAATAATCGAAGAGGCATAAAAGGAAGGCTATTAGATAGCAATGAATAAATATGGTGATTTTGAAACAAATACAGATAAACCTAAATTTGAGAAAAGAAATTGGGTGGGAAGAAATAAAAATAAAACTAAGAAGAATATTGACATAGAAGAGATAGAATAAGTTATTTAAGGATTAGATGATAATCTACCATAATAAAAGAAGAAGGATATTATGAAATTGTAAAAAGAGCAGCTGAAATCACAATTTAAATAGGACATAGAAAATTTAAGATAGAAATAAAAGAAAGTAAAAGAATGAGAAAATTGCTATAATAATTTTGTACATAATATATATCATTATTGTTGTTATTTTTAAATTAAAGGTAAATCTATGTCTCCAAGACAAGTTTCATGTTTCTGAAGCTTTTAGGTAATAAGATCAGCTTATTCATTCCAATTTAGATCTTTTAGGACATATAGAAATATGATAGTCAAATAGAAATTACATAGGCCAAAACCTAACCAAATACCAATTAATTAGAGTTTAAAGATGTAAGCCAAAACTAAAACCATTGGAACTCCTATGATATAATAGGATATCATGGTTTAATTAGATACAATTGTTGATTTATTCACTCCCTTTAAGACTCCTGATAAGGCTCCTTGAATTCCATCAAAACAAACACTTCCAATGAGAAAATATGGAAGAGTATTTAACATGATTTCTTAGATCTACAAATCAGATGAATAAATCTGACTCCATTATTCTCTAAATATAGTTAGGCCTATTATTAATGAAATAAGCACTACACTTTAAACACACATACCACTAATTATATATTATTTTGCTAATTCAATTTTATGTTGACCTCTGTTAATATACAATTTTACTTAAACTATTTCCAACATAAGACATCAAAGTTACTGATAAACTTATTGGAAATTTGAAATATATTGAACTTGTATTAGCAAAACCAAGTTGAGCATTTGCTTAATTAACTCCTAAAGAAAAGGCAACAATTGATAGAATGTAAAAAACTATGAAATCAGCATAAACATGGAGAATCAAAGGAATAGACTCCTTAATGAACATTACATAGGTATCTCTAAATGAAAATATTTGACAAGAGAATTCAAAGTTTGCTATCAAATTATACACTTCAGGATTCTTGTAAATGTATCTGATCAACATGAATAATGTAAATAACTTAGTATAATAAAAATTTGCTTACTTCGCTCAAAATAATGGATGCACACAAACCTATGTAACCCAGGTTGCATATTAAAAATAGAATTATACATGTAGTTAAATGGAATACAAGAGTGGAAGCATAAATAAATGGAAAAGGTTGAAAAACCCTACATCCAACAAGATATTATTTCAAGCATTCAATTTATAAGAGTATAAATGCAGCCATAAATAAAGGAATGATCATTTACCTGAGATGCTTGTTTATTTCATTATATATACCATGCGAATTATGTTATGATTTCAGTTTCCTCTTAGATAATGAATTGAACCATATATTATGAATTGTAAATCAAAACAAAAAAGGGTACTGAAATGAATATGATAGTATATATAGCAAAATTTAAGTAGGTTTAAGAAAGCTTGGTCTTATTCTATCCTAAAGCATGAGATACCTAATTATTCAATCCTTGATTGATTCCTAAAATATTGATAATGTGTTACCTAATCCTAATGGAACAAAAAGTAATTAAATTATCATCCATGCAATCCCATATGCTGCTGTTTGATATTTGTCTGTATATTGACCCATAAAATGTAAATTAAGCATTGACATTAGATCTGTGCATATGTAACCACTTACTATCTGAAACATACTTGTTGATACATTATATGTTATTGATTTCCAATCATTACTTATCAATTAATTATCATTAGACATTTTATATAAATGAATGAACTATTTGATACAGAACAGTCCATTAATTCTGATGAAGCCATCAAATCAATTTCATGTAAAAATCTTACTCCCATTTTTCATCGTAATCTTGATGATCAAGGTACCTCAGTTCATAAAAGAATGAATGCAATTAATAACATGATATGTAAATTCAAAGAATCCTTGATCTCTAAAGATGAAGTATTTACTCAATCATCTCCTTTTAAATCTACCAATCTTGTCTCAAGTCAAAATGGAATACTCTAAAGTGAAATTCCATCCTAAACTTAAGATTTCTTTAAATAACATTAAGTACATTTAGCTGATTCACGTAAAAGACACAATACTAAAGATTCCATATAATAATTCTAAGAAAAACTAATTAAACAAACTCATAGAAACAGTCAACCAAATTTATAAGCTAATATTCTATAAACTCGTAAACCAAAAAGATAGATTTATGTCACATAAATAGTAAACGATCATTGTGAAATAACAAGTTTTCCATTCCCTAAACCATAAAGATTATCTAGGATTATTTAAAATAATGATGGATTACATTCATAAAGAGCTAGCTCTACTTCTACTCCAAGAGGCATACTTAAATCTGGCTCTTTTGAAGTATTAAGGATTGGTAGTAGACCTAGTACTTAGAGTCTTAATAGTCCTATGTTAAGACCCTAAAATAAAAAGGTTTCTTTTGAATTTACGAGTGAGTAACTACGTAAAATGAAAAATAATCGTGCAAGTTCAGATCACAATAAATATCAAAGATTAAAAACTAAATTAAAAAAATGATTCCATCTTTTCGTTTTCTATTTATCTATATATACTAATATCATATTGTATTTAATTTTATTATAATATTTCTATGAACTCATAAAATATTTAATCTAAATTTATTAAATTTAAATTTGAATAATAAATGTCAACAGATAACACAGAATTGTTATCCAAATTTCTAAATGATTATAATCAACTAAAAAAATAGAATTAAGAATATCAAATGAAAGAAAATACAACATATTAAACTTTGTCTAATGAAAATTAGTTATTGAACTAAGAATTGAATCGTATAAAAAAAGAAAATCAAAGGCTACTCGAAAATAATGCATTCTTAACTGATTAACTTAATCAATTAAAGCTTCTTTATTCAGAAACTAAATCAGAACTTTAAGAATCCTTTAATTTTATTTAAAGCATGAATAAAAATATGAAGACAGGTACTTTTGAAAATGAAGATAAAGATCTCAATAAATTAATGGAAATCTTTTCAGTTAATTCTGTAGATTAATTAATTATGACTGCAGAAAAAATTAAAACTGTAATGTTAGGAGTTTCTCATTTAGAATAGTTTTGTAGATCTATTTGTGAAATCATTTACGATTAACATGAAGAACATTATAATTTAGATTAAGTATTTCCTATTATTTAAAAATGGAAATGTGATTCTAAATATGTTGATTGTTTTTTGTTCTTTAAAAATTAATTAGAATTAACACTTTCTTTAAAACATTCAACTGATTAATAAATTATTGATGCAATAAAAATACTTCAAAATAATTAAAATAATGATATTTAAGCAATCAAATAACTTTTCAAAATTGATTCGAATGATAATTTTATGTTCAAAATCAATCAAATCTTTTTATTACTTTAAGATATTTAATAATTTATTAAGATTGCTAAAAGATTATTAGATTTGGATGAGAACATGAAAAATGAAGCTTGTATGGTTTACATATTGAAATTATTGGAAAAAATAAAATAAAATAATTTTAATGATCCTGATCTAATATTAAAAATAATGAAAATAATGAAAGTTGAGCATCCCTAATAAATATTATCAAAATTAGAGTAATTGACAAATTGATTATTATAAATAAAATATGATTAAAATTTTAAGAAGTCTTCGCTAAATAAATTATAAATAATCATAAGGTTTATTTGGATGGTTTAATAAAAAAGAAGAAAAAGTAGATGATTCAGCATATGATCCTGCAAATTGGAAATAATTATAACCTGCTTTTAATAAAGTAAAAGAAGAAAATTAAAATAAACCAAAACTCTTACCAATAAAAAAGAAATAATACTCTGATAAATTAACAGTTGTTATTGAATTAGATGAAGTGTTAGTATATTCATTTATTCCAGATCCAAAGGATATGTTCATGAATGCACCTTTAAGACAATATGATTTTTATATAGATTTGCCTGAATTCGATAATTTTGTTCATGTATATAAGAGAGAATAATTGGATGAATTTTTAGATTACTTTCTTAATTTTACTGAACCAGTTATATGGTCAAAAGGTTAAAGAATATATGTAGAGAGAGTTTTAGAAAAACTATGTCCATAATTTCCTAAAGATCATATATTTTGTCAAGAACAATGCAATTTAGTTGAGGAAGATGATTTAGAAGATTATTTTAAGGATTTGGATCTTTTAGGAAGAGACAGAAAGAAAATAGTTTATGTTGATTCTAAACCATTAAGTTTTTGGACTACAGGAGATAATTGTAATATTATTATCATCTATATACATTTAGCTATTCCAGTTAGAATGTTTGTTGCAGATAATACAGACACTAAAGATGATTTATAAAAATTAATAAATATTCTTGAAAGATTGAAATAAGAAAATGATGTGAGAGATTATTTAAAAAAGATATATAAAGTAGAAGAAACACTTAGAGAAACTAAATTTATTGAGTGATATTATGAATGAATTTCAATCAATCAATCAATCAATCATTTAAATTTATCTTTATCCTTTTTCTTTACATCATCTTTTTCTTCAATATTAATCAATATACGTAAGCAACTTGGAGTTGAAGAATTCTCAGTCACATAAAGAATATTTGATTTTTAACTATTTAATTAAGTTCATAAATATATATATTTACCTTGAAAATGTTAAACCAGATATTTCAGGACATTATGGAATTGAAACATTTTCAACATTCACTCCATTTGAATTAAAAATACTTATTTATCCTTCTTCTGAAACATATCCAAATTCAAATCGAGCAACATATAAATGTTCTGATTACGATACTGAACAAGCAATTGGACCAAATCTACCATTAAATTATATATAAGTGCTATTTTATTGATTTATTTTTCTAATACCTATAATAAAATATTCCAGCATCTGTTTAAACAAAACGTAATACTCTATTTTTACCAGTTTCACATAAATATAATAATTTTTAATTATTGCTTAAACATATTCCACTTGGATATGATAAACATTATAATGCTAAAGGTTTTATAATTTGAGTATCCATATCTATAGCAAATAGAGATCCTTTACAATTCTCTATTGAAGTTTCGCCAAATGGACCAGAATCAGTAAAGAACATCAAATCTAATTATATTCAATAATACTATTTTTGGTAGACAATAATAATGAATTAGGTCCTAATAATGTTTAACCTTCATAATCTTTTTAAAACTCTACAATTTGTTCTTAACTGTTTTCATCAACATATCTCTTTAAAATAGCTTAATGAGCCATATCTGCAACATAAATAAATTTATTCAATTTATCGATAACTATAGAATAAGGTTATCCTGATATATGAAATTCAGCCTATTCTTAACTGATTTAAAAAACCTTAAATTATCCATCCTTGAATTTCAAAACATCACCACTTTAAGAAACCATATATATAGCACCATCTATTTCTAATGGACAATAAAGTGGACTTACTAATTCGCAAATCTTTTCATAAGGCACAGCACTCATTATTGTTTTTAATATATAATTTAATATATATACAATTAAATTAAAATAATAATTATATACTATTAAAAGAAAACAATTATTTAGAATTAAATCAAAATTAAAAAAAAAAGAATCACCCATGGCAGGGATTGAACCTGCAGCCTACAGCTTAGAAGGCTGTCGCGCTACCAATTGCGCCACATGGGCAATGTTAATAAATCTCTTTATCATCATATATTTATACTATTTGATATTATTGATATTCTCTCATACTTATTATTTTATTATTAAATATTTCATGTTACATATTATTATTTAACATTTTATACTATTTTTATCTCCCTATATTAATTATTTTTTTTCATATTTATAATTTTTTATTTGAGATTAATCTTATTTTACACAATAAACTCATTTGTAATCAAGAACAAATGCAACATTCAATTCGCATGTATGTACAAGAATTATTTCTGTCTTACTTAAAAATATATCTATAAATAAAATTTAGTATTTCAAAATATTAGGAAAGATCAATCTTTAAATCTTATCTAAATCAAATTCACTTGTAAACTTTATCTAATAAAGAAAATCATTAGTTTAATTACAAGATAATTTTAATCTATTACTTTTTATGTTGTCAATAATATTGAAGAATATCAATGCAAATAATCTTGGATGTGTACCAATCATTTTATCTTCTTTAAGATTAGTTTACAATCTTATATGTAAGTCTCTGCAATATTTAATTAATTTTTGTATAAAATTTAAAACTTAGATATCTTTATAATTATTGTTTAGGTTTATATTTTCATTCAATATTAAAATTAGAGCTTTTCTCTATATGATTACAAATTTTTAATTTTTATTTGAATAATATTTCAATCGCCTTACCAATTTAAATATTAGTTTCATCAATTATATATTTCTATCATATATATAATTTCTGGACAAAATATTCACTTTATTAAACTCTTTGAAAGTTAACAAAACTTTTAATGAATTAGTTTAAAATATTGTCGAAGTAATCAAAAAAGACTTTTTCTAATATCTGAGTACAAATTCATTATTACAATTGGCTGAATGATCCTTATTATAATTAGTAATTAATTTAAATAAATAAGTTTTGAATGGAATATTTTCAATTAAACTATTGTTCATAAAATCATAAGATTCTTATGAATTTTAAAATATGGACTCACACTTATTTGTAGTTGAAATTTAATAACTTAGATTTTCTTCTTAAAATTATATTATCATAAATGGAAATTCAAATGATAGTTTTTTTAATATTTCTTCAAAATTTGAATCAACATATGATAATAAAAACTAAGACCTTATTCCTTTATGAAATTAGTAATTAAAATAGATGACATAAAATATAAGTAAAATTGTTGATACTATTGCTGAAATTTATATTTAAGAACTATATACTATAGCCCATCCTATTCTAAATATACTTAAATTGATTAATGTTATAATGCCATCAAGATATTCTCCAATCAAGACCAATAAATATGTTGCCCCCATTTAATTTATACCCTATAACATAGCCATCTAAGAATCTTTTTTACTTTCTTAAGCAAATAAATATATGTTCATTATATGATTTATTAAAACTAAAGCTAATCTTATATATTATGGATAAAATTTAATGAATAACAATTAAACAAAGAAATAACTTATTAAAATTACGTTACTGAGTAACTAAGTTATATTTCCTTCAACTCCTGCCTAAAAACATTTTATTACAAATATTATTATCAGACCTAGTGTCACAAAGCAAAATGTACTCCATCTTCTTACTTTTATGAGTTATCTTTAATATTTTCTTTCTATTTATGCATCCTTAAAAGCTAAGCTATATTTATTCATTAATTATATTAAATTTATTTTTATCATTCAAGACATATAATGACAACACACAACAAAAACAAAAAAAGACTTTCTAATTTGATATTTAATTTGTAAATAATTAAAATCAATTCATTATGGTGTATCTTTATAGATAAGTTAATCCTATTCTGATAAAAAATAATCCAATTCATAATATTTCTCCTTATTCTCAAAGTAATATTCCAAAACTTCTTGATTTTTTCTTAAAATGGATTATTTTATTATCAAATCTAATTATCTACGATGAATTGTAGATAATAAATCCATTTTATTTGATGCATCACAATTACGTAAGAATTTTGAAGGAATTTTAGTTCCACATTTACATTTATAATAAAGTGATCCCTTTTTCTTTCTTTAATCATACAATTCTTTAAAAAAACAATTTTTGTGAAATTTAAATAAACAATTTACTTATCCACAATTTTATGAAAAAAAATCATCATCTTCTACATATTTACTACATCTAAAGCACTTGGCTGATATTATATTTTTATTATTGTCTATCTAGTTTTATTGAATGGAAATCATTGATTCTGTAGTATTTTAGATTTCTCTTGGATTTGTTGTCAATATTATTGGATTTTCAGTTTCTTATTGTCTAATTCCTAAAATACTACCCATATATATATAGTTTCTAATTATTAATAATAATTTGCAAATTAAATTTGATTTTTGAAAAAGCGGATTGATAAATGAACTTTTCATTCTAATCATAAAATTCTAAATATTAATAAGACTTAATTCGTCCTAAATGTATAAATTAAATAAATTAGAGAAAAAAATTTATCATTTCACCTCAAATAATGATTGAAAGACAAGAAAATTAAATAATTTAATAATATAAAAAACAAATTAAACCTCAAAAATAGAAAATAATTCTATCTGCAAAATGATGTAGCATGATGTTTTATTTTTTTATTTAATAGGGATTCTAGATTTGAGAAACAGTTTACATATTGAAAACACAAAAAAACAATTTTTTAAGTAGATCAAGTGAAGATATATAACATCAAAAATTATAAAAAATTTTTATTAAATTTCAAATATGGTTCAAATATATTATGAATTAAGTCAATTTAAGTATGATATTAAATTCTTCTATTAATTATTTAGTTAGAACCTTAAATAAGATTTATTTTCGTAGACTTTTTCATTTTTTAGAATTTCTAAAAATTTAGTTGTAGCAATGATTAATTTGCAATATAAATTAGTCTTTAAGTCAAATGAAAGATGAATACATGTTATTATATTTCCTTATATTTCCTACCTAATTATTGATTTTTAGTAGCTGAAGAAATGTATTTTTTTATTCATAAAAATAAAACAAAAATTATTATTTTCAAATTAAAGGCAATTTTAATATTCTAAAAATTAATATAGGAAGATCTTATTAAATTCGATGACAAGATTACGTATTTATTTTTTATAATCTTTTTTAATTCAAACTTTAAAAATTTTAATTAGAATTTATATTTATAGATATGGAATTTCTTTAATAAATCCTATTTAATTATAATAAGTACTTTTCATAAACTATTTCAAACTTTATGATCAATAAAGAACTATTTATTATAATGTCCTTCATTTATAATTGAAAATATAATACAAATTGGAACTCTCTTTAAGAAAGATTGATATTTTTTCTTTAAGTTTTAATTGAAAGGATTATTTAAAAAAAAAATCCTTATAATTCTTATTAAATTAATAGTAAATAATCCAATTTTATTTTTTCAAATAAAGACATTACATTACTATAATTGATTATTTATAAAAAGTATTCAGATATCTTAAAAAAAACTAGAATGTAGAGAATATGAGTTCTATATTTAATTTTGATAAAAATAAAAATATTAAAATTAAATTATGATTAAATAAATTTAATGAATATAAATATTAATAAATAAAGAAATAAAGAAAAATGAATAATTTAGAGGCATAAATTTTGATAATATTATTAAAAAAATGATACTATTAAAATTTAAATATATGAATAATAATAAAGTCTTGTTACTATAAAAAAGACCTGATGAATCGTTTCCTTAAAATATGAATTTCTTTGAAATATAAGAATAAACTACACCTCAACTAAATAAGGGAGAAATTTTAATTCGTGTGTTATTTATAGGAATAGATCCTGTAATGAGAGTTTGGCTGTCTGGTGCAAAAACTTACATAGATTCTGTGTAAATAGGTTAAGTGATGCCAGCTTTTGGAGTAGGATAATGCATTGAAAGTAATGCTAAGAATTGGAATGTAGGTAATTTTAATATTTTTAAAATTTTGTATAGGATAATTAGTGTTTGGAATATTAGAATGTGCTTAATATTGTGTGAGGAAGATAAACAAATTATTTAAGGTACCATCATTTGTTGAGATTGGTGATCCAATAATTCCTTTAACATTATCAATGTAAATAAATTTGAATTAAATATTAGTTATGGTGTAACAGGTCTAACTGCTTTGAATGCCATGAAATAAATACCAGAATCTAATAGACCTAATAAAGAAAATTAAAAAACATTATGTGTTTCATCAGCAGCTGGTTCAACAGGATCAGTTGTTTGTTAAATAGCAAAGAGAATGGGATATAGAGTAATTGGGATTGTAAGTAGTCAAGAGAAAGTTCAATTCTTATAAGAACTTGGAGTTGATGAATGTGTTACGTATAATGAATGTAAGCATAATGAAGAAATAAATGTGAAGTAAATATTCAGTTTTAATAAATTAGTTAATTAACAAAATTAATTAAATAAAAATCATCATAAGGAATAGATGTTTATTATGATAATGCAGGAGAGGAAATCTTAGATGCAGTTATTCCTACTATTAATAAAAATGGATATGTATTATTATGTGGAGCAACATCTACATATAATTCATGGAAGTAAAGATGTGGTTTAAAGAATTTGGCAATAGCTATTTAAAATTCAATTAAATTTGAAGGAATAATGTTTTTAAATGAAAAACAAAAGATGTATGATGGATTTGCAGAAATGGTTGAAATGGTTAATGAAGGATTTATTAAACATTAAGAAGAAATACTTTTAGGAATTGAATAATTTGTTATTGGACTCTAAAATGTATTCTTAGGTAAAAATAAAGGGAAAACAATTATTCAAATTTATGATAATTAATATTAGTAAGCTAAATTATGATAAATACCCTAATATAAATAAATAATAATTCTTTTATATAGTTCAAGCCCATTTAATACTTAAGTATTTTTGTTTAATTTTGATCATCTACAATTTCTAATTATACTAAAATTATACATTACTATCATCTATAATATATGGGATTAAGTTTTTATTATTAGATCATGAATTTCATAACAAAAGATAAATATTCTTACTAATGCATTTTCTGAAGAAACAAGGAATTGATACTATGTTTATTCTAATATTTTACTTTCTGTTTCTAAATATTCTATGAGATCCTAATTAAACAATATTTAGAAATATAAATTTTATGTATTTTGAACAACTTGATTCATTTCTTCTATAAAAATGACAGCTTATTTTCTAGAGATTATGTTTTACATAAAGTTCGTATAAGGTATATATAATCAATAATAATCTAAGTAATATTCAAAGTTTTATACTAATCATCCACTTGCTATTGTTGATCATATTCTGTTGGTCAATTAAAAATGAATTCCTTTATTATTGTAATTTTTTTTACTTGCAGTTATTGCCTAATTTTATATATTTCTCTTTATTCTTGATCTTCATTTAATATTTAATTTTCTTACTTGTATAATTAACGAAAAAAAACTCTTAATTGAACATATTTTGATTTGTGATTACCTTGAAATTTTATGTCCTTCATTAAAAGAATTGTTAAATGACTTTCTTCTAATTACTTTAATAACTTTTTGTGTTTTTCATAACATTTACTTATAATCCATAATAATTAAAATATTTTTTACGATCAAAAAATTTTTAATACTATTTTTTATTTTTCTTTAACTCTTCTTATTCATATTCAATAAAAAAATAGCCAGTTGGGGGAATTGAACACCCGACCCTTTGCTTACGAGGCAAATGCTCTAACCACTGAGCTAAACCGGCATAATTAAATTCTATATCTCTATTTTATATATATTCCTACTCCAAAATTAATTACATATATTCGTTAATATCAAAAGTCATCTATTTTCATAACTCATTTCTTAAACAAATATTTAGTTTTTATTTAATTTATAAAATTCAATCTAATCTATACCTATTAATACTAACGACTTTATTCCATTCCATATTTAAATTTGTAAATATCAATTTTTAATGATTTATTTTATTGTATTAAAATATATAATAATTTTTTTACTTTTATTGATTAAATACCTCTTAATTAATAAAGTTTTGTATGTCATTAAATTAAGAGTTTTTTGATAATTATTCTATATTACTATTAAATTATAAAATTGTTTTTTTGTTTCACTTTTTATTTAATGATTATTGATTAGAATTAATAATATTCTTAAAATCTTGATTTTTCTTATTATATTAATTAATTTTTAAAAGTACATTTATTAATTAAATCGAATGGGGAAACCTAAAATATTAATAAAAAATTTGTATGAAATTTTGCAGGTAAGTTATTAACACTTAATCAATAGTCTGGAAAATTTAATTGTATTAGATGGACAAATAATGGAAGAGCATTTATAATAATTGATCCTGATGAATTTTAGAATTCAATAATGCCAGAATATTTTTATTCAACTCAAATAAAGTCTCTTTATCGATAATTAAATTCTTATGGATTCAAGATGAAAAGTTTAGAATTTAATTAAAAAATGTTTTCCCATAAATGGTTTATTAAAGGAAATATGTATTAAGTATCTTCTGATTTAAAAGATCATCACTTTATAAGGTAGAAAGACAGAGAAAAAAGAAGATTGCTCATTTAGATAAAGAGAAAGATTCAATTACTATAATTAAAGAGGAGATGAAATAATTAAAGGAGGAATTAGAAACTTTATAAAGTCAATAAAATTCGATATTAAAATAAATTAGAATTCATTCTATAATATAGACTAACATTTGTAAAAATATCAAAAAGATTTGTGATGAATAAAAGAAATTCAATTTAGAAAGAGAATAGGAAAGACGTCTTGTAATTTATTTTACATCAATGTTTTAAATATTTAAAGGCTTCCAATTTGAAATAGCCTCAAACATAATACGAGAATTAAAAGATATTGGTGGACCTTAAACTCCTTCTTTTTCTCCAATGATATTTCCATATATGTGATTAGTAGATTAGTAGCATTAAATTATAAATGACATAGTTTAAAGTATGTAATCTTAAAATTTATTACTTCTACTTTTATTCAATAAATATCTAACAAAAGACAGTATCAACAATATGGAAACTAAATTGGAGAGTAATTTTCTTATATTGGAGTAGGGACATCCATTTCAAAAATTAAAAAGCCAACAATTCTTTCTAATTGATCTGCTCTATATCCTTATAACATTTTGAAAAACAATTTCATTGGTTTTGCAAATTCTAATTAACAATCTTCTCCATACATTAATGCCATATGCTAAATTAAAATCTAATTATACTTGAGTAATCTTCTCAACTCGATTTGCTAATGTTGTTTATATTTTTGTTTGCATTATTAATTGTTTTAATAAATATTACTAATTTATTTTCAGCTCCTATAATTAAACTTATAATTGCTAATTTTATTTTTTTATTTATTCCAAAGATGTTATCTAATCTAAACTCTCTTCTTATTTATCACTTTTATTTCTCTATATTTTACATAACAAATCCCTATTTAATAATTATTCATAATACCTTCTTCCTTTTTAAAAATATGGTTGATAATATTGTTTTTGATTTTACTTATTTTTTTGCATTTTAAATTTATAAATACTAAGCTATCTTAAAAATGATTAAATATTATTAGTATTAAATGCATTCACCATTACATTTTCTTAAAATTAATTATGTTTTGGTATTATGAAACTCTTCCCATCTGGTGTCCATCTAATATAATTTTTATATTCATCATTCTTATCTAATAAAATAAACTACTTCTAAGATTTCAAATAATAAAAATATGAACTTTTAAATATTCTTTGTTCTCATTATTAGTATGATCAAGTAAAATTTTAATTTAATCTAAATAATCAAAAAATAAACTAAGGAATTAATTAATTTATCAAAAATATAAATTAAATATATATTAATATTTGATTAAAATTTTCTTTGTTAAAATTGAAATGCAACATAAGAGATATGAATACTTGGAAGGGAAATATCATTTTTAATTAGAACAGTTTAATTTCAATAAAGCTTTTGTTAAAAGGTGTTTAGTATCTCAAGATTAAAGATTTGTTGCAATAAGTGTTAGAGGATGTTATGATAACAATGTTTAGAAAACAAATTATCATTATTATTATTAAATTTGGAGTTTAATAGAGAGAAAATGTATTAAAACTTATTAAATTCATTTGTGCTCTCCTATATCTCAATTCATGTGTGATTTTTCTGATTGTTCTTAATGTTTTGTAAGTTTTAATTGTAATTGCTAAATGACAATAGTTTATTTAGAAGAACAAAAAGAAAGCCTAACTATTGATTTACCAGGACATGAAGTAATAGATAAATTAATAATTAAATCAGCATAAATATTCACTATTATAGAATAATTACTATATATTCACTGCTTAATAAATGGAACACTATAATAAAAAATAGAATTTGATTTCAAATTAGAAAATTTCATACCTTTAACACCATGTAGATATTTGATTTCGAATTAAAAAAGAAAATCAGTTTAAATTTGGAACAGAATTAATATGAGAATATAAAAACAAAAAGAAATATTTCCTAAGAATCATTATGATGAATTTTTTTACTTTAAAAATAGAATTATTATTGGTTAATAATAGATGTGTATACATTTACTATCACCAAGTAAATTACAAATCATTCGGAATATTAACATAGAATATTAATTCTATAATATTCTTATTGATCACAATATATCCATACTAAATATTTATAGAAGTTTATGTCCAGAGTAAAGAAAATTTGATTATATGAATGTATTTCCAGAGATTTAAAATTTAGAATCTAATCATCACAATGAAGTTGATTATACATTTGAAAATATGTATTTTTATTCTGGAATTGTAATTGGTTGGGATTATGATAATCCTAATAAAGTAGGATTTATGATTTATTAATTTTCAAATTGATTTACCTTTCGAATTAACAAATATAATCTATTTAAATATATATATAAATCGTAGTATATTTATCAAACTAAAGCTTTAGGAGGATTCCTATTAACTAAATCTTCTATAAATTTCATATGATTTGTAACATTTTATAATGGTAATACTTTTTACTTACTATTATTGTTAGAATTAAAAGTTGTACTTGCCATAGATTATGTTTATTTATAATATGATACCTTTTAATTCTATCTAAGAGGTGTGACTATTTATGTTTTAACCCTTTATTCAATTCTGTTTGGTGTTCTTGATGTTGATTTTCCTATTATTCTTTGAGTGTATTGCTATTTTAAATTTGGAGAAACTGATCTTTCTGGTGTTTTACTTTGACAAGCTAATTTTATTGAATTTGCATTAATTTATGGACAAAAAGGAGTCTTTTTCAATTCTTCAATCAAATGATGTTAACCATTTATTTGTTTATTTATTTAAGTCTTTTGGCATCTTTAAAGTAATGATGAATTCTAATCTTAAATTAATCGTTGTGATTTCTTATTAATCTTTGGTTTAAATGTCAAACCTTTCAATTCTTCCTACTCTTTTTCTTTTTACATGATTTGAAGTTATTCATTTTTTCTTTCTATCCAATAATCAACTTCTTCTAAAAATTAATTTACTGTTCGATATTCTCTATCCTTATGAATATTTGGCCGAAATGAATATTTACTACATTCTTATTCTTCATTCAATTCTTTCTATCTTTTATATTCAGCAATTTTCTATTGTTTCTCTTTTATTAAATGTTAGGCACGTTAATAAATAGGTATATGGTTCATCTTATTAATTATAATTAAACTTAGTTAACGAATATATTTCTATTTATAAAAAATCCATATTTTTTATCATTACGCTTATCAATAATCATATTAATCTATCCTAAACATTCAATATAATTACTTTTATTTTTAGATATTATTAGTTTTAAGTAATACTGAAAACATAAAAATTCATTTTCTAAATAAAATCCACTTCAAGTTAACTTGGTTTTATCGTATTTAATTTCTTTTTACTATCAGAATCACATTCTAATAATAATAGTTGTAATCATCATAATAAAATAAATATTAAGATAATTACAATAAAATAAATATTAGAGAAAATAGAGTTAAGATTCATAAATAAAATTCTTCAACTTTAAAAATTTTCAATGAATCTCCAATTTGATTGGCTGATTTAGAAAATTGTAAATTATAAATAAAAAATGGAATATTATAAATACATAAAGAAGAACGATTTTCAATAGATTTTTAAATAAAGTTTTAAATTTTATTATATTAACAAATTGATTAGAAGTAATTTATTTATTGATATTTTTATTAGATAATTGTATAAAAAAGGTTAAAAACCTATATACATTAAATGAGTTACCTTATAAAATATAAAAATTCTATATTAATTCAAAATAAGTTTAAATTGCTATTAAAGAAAAAAAAATAAAAAATAAAATTAAACAGTGAACATGGTATTTAGCATTAAAAAATACAAAATTAGCCCGATTTTATGAAATAAATTTATTTTTATTATAAACTATATAATGCATAATCAAAAATAAAAGAAATTTTATTTGTAAACCTTAGATTCAACATATCTGAATTCAGAAACAATTAAATTATAGTTTCATAATGGGATTACAAAAATTGTGAATATCCATGAATTATGATAACTTTTCACTTAAGCTAGAATGGATCCAATTGAAGTTTATAGTAATGATAGTTAAAATTTATTTTTTTTATATTTACAAAATAATCTCTCTGATTCAAATTTTTTATTTTTATTTTTTCATGAAATTAAGGTTTAGATTTTATATTATATGTGAATTATGAATAAATAAAAACATTATTCTAGAATTTAATAAATGTGCATATTGTATATAAGAAAATTTATGTTTAGTGTTCATTTTTTTTTTAATTTAATTCCAGGAATTAAAAAGAATATTTTTATACTTAGGTTTAAAACTTATTGGTATGAGATAGTGTACTTTGGTTTAAACTAATTCTTATTTAATTGAATTATAATAATGAAAATTAGAAACATATAAAATTTTTATTGATCAGCATTTGATATAACTTTTCAATTAAAATTAGTAATGACTTTTAAATTTGATTTAAAAATTGTGATTTGTACTCTTTGTAATTTGAAATTTAATAAATAAAAGAGATCATTGAGTAAATAAAAAATTTAAGATTAAGAATTTGCTAAAATCTTAATGTCACAATAATTATTCAACTAAATATTCAACAAACATTCGAGCATTTTATAGTAATGCAGTTCGGGATGTTATTTGAGATACGAGATCATCTTTTTCTGCATTTAGTATATTACTCACATTTTTTTGTTGCTCACACAAAGTCTCCAATTATTCTTATGGAACACTTAAATGTTTGTAATTTCTAAATTAATAAAATGATACTCTCCTAAAATTTCCCATCTAAAGCGCAAATATTTATAATATCGATTTTTCACCATAGCCAAAGTTTTTCCAGGGAAATGTCTATGAATCTTTTAAAATTTAGGTCCATTATTAAGTACTAATTACAAAATACGCTTATCTTCATCTTACGAAAATTTTTGACCTGATTTTTTACTGTTTGTTCCATCAGAGCCTCTTCGCTTTTTTCTATGATAATCATATTCATTTTTCTTTTTTTGTTTTTTTATCATGCTATTTTTATTAGGCTATTCATTATTAGAAGATATTTCTTCTTTTTCTTGCATCATTAATACTTTCTACTATTTTAATTAATTACTATTCTTTATTAATTTTGAGTTTTTTAATTTAAGTTTATTCATACATACATAATAAATAAGTGCATTTTATCACTAGTATTTTAAATCATTACAACTTTATTTAAATACGAATTATCTTTGCTAATATAAAATTTTAGTAACTTATTAAAACGATAAATTTTATATCTTATTTCAATCTTTTCTAATTTATTTAAATTTTAGAGTTTATATATGCCAAAAAGGTTACATCCTTTCTTTCCAGATTTGGTTATTAAGAAAATATTATTATTAGGAAACATCTTACTTGTTATTGTTAAGTTAATTTTTAGGACATTTCTGATAGTAAATTTGTAAAAGTTAATTCTAAATATATCATTATTAAATCACGTAGAAACTTGTCAAGATCTAATTTATAAATTAGATCTTAATAATTATTTTTAATTACAAAAACAAGAAGAAATATTTATCCTAATTTTCTTATATTAGAATTATTATTATTAACTATTTTTAGATATTCAATATTACAAAATAATATGTTTTATTAAAAAAATATTTCATTTTTTTCCATACTTTTAATCCATAAACTTTTTTAATCTTTCTACAACTTAACCCTAGGCACTAGATGCAAAATTAACAGCCTTAGCTGGCAAGTTTCCTTTTGGATCTCCCCAAGTCATATAGGTAACTTAAGTACCCTAAAATTTTTATTGAATTATTACTCCTTCCTTCTCTTCTAATAACCAACCTCCTAATTTCAATTCACCTCTAACTTTTCCTTTAACAGGTGGTCTTGAAGCTAATTCAATTGATTTGCCTACTACCCATAATTAATTTCCATTTTTATGTCTTTTTTAAAGAATCACAAAATCTCTTCCTGATACCACTATAAACATATCTTTTAATCTTTAATAAAAGATTAATAAATCATCTCTTATTTTTTATATGAGAGAGGCCTAAATTTTATTGGAATATAAATGAATACTTTTTCACATAATTCATCAAATTTTTCAGCATTTTCTACTTAATTAAGAACTTCCATAATTTAATCAATAGTATAAGGTAAAAACCCTTCTCCTCTTGAAAAGTTTAAACCTGTGTCTTTATCAGGTCTAAGATGGATCTTAAAGCCATTTTTGTCACTATGGAGTTCCCATTTATTCTCAGGAATGAGAGGTAGAATTTGTTAAAACTACTGAATAGCCTCTATTAAAATAAATTTGATTAATACAATCAGCTTATTAATCATACTGTTAGATTTGTTCATCTGTGAATTGCTCTTATTGAATCATTAATTAAATATAAAATTGATTCTAAATATTAATTTTTTTTTAATGTTATTCAAATTTCGTGTTTATTTCATTATATTACCCTTATTAATATAATTTTAAATTAATATATTTTTAATAGAAAAATAAAATAATAATTATATGGCGATAGTTGCCTAAATGATTCAATAACTTTTCGAATTTTAAGGCGGATTTTCCAAAACTATTAAGTAATTACAAGAATAAGCTAAAAATTACAATAATTGCTATAGAGAATCATATTAAGAAATCATGAATCATTATTAGTAATAAAAAGGAAAAGAGATTAAATCAGATCTAATTAATAATCTATAAGAATTAAGTTAAAATCCTTAAGAAAGTACTTAAATTTCTTTAAATAAACATTTTGATAAATTGTCAAAATAATATGAAATTTTTAATGAAAATATTTTAGAATATTATTTTTAGAAATTAGAATTTGATAAATTTTACTAAGATTCTTAGCTGGAAAAGATGGTTGAAAAATAAAATAGAAGATATTTTCACTTTAATATACAAGAAATAAATCCTTTAAATTTTGATTTGATAAATTAGATCACTTTCTAATAATAATAATTGATTTAAAAGTAAAATAATTAATTTTATTAAAATGAGCAATTTAACAATTATATTTCTTAAACAACTTATTTAGTATAACAATTAATTCAAATTAGAGAAAGAAAAGAAAAAGAAATTAAAGATAAGATTGAAGAAAATAATAAATTACAAGAGGAGATTAGAAGATAATAAGAAGAACTTTAAAAAAAAATGATTGGTGATACTAATAATGTGAATCAAGAAAATGAAAATAATAATTATGACATTGATAATTTGTCTGAAACTGAAGAATTAACATAATCATGCTAAGAATGTGGATAACAAATTAAGTTTAATCATTTCTTAACAACATGTTTGCATTATTATCATGAAGAATGTATAATATAAAAAATAAAGGCAAATTGTAATTAAACAAATATTTTTTGCAGTTGTAACAGTTTGATAAACTCTAGAATGATCAAAGATGCATTAAAACATTAATAACAAAGCCAAAACTCGTTTACATATGAAAACTTTTTATAAAATCAAGTTTAATAATTAATAAGGTAATGTAAAAAAGACTTTACTAAATGTTAATGTGGTTTCTTATACATTTCTGATATTCAAGAAGAAATAAATAATTGTATTAATTGTTAATGAATTTGATTATTATTATTAGTATTTAATGTTAAAAAATTCAATAGAGTTGGATATTTAATTATCAAAAATTATTGTTATTTGATAATATTTCTTATTCATTCTAATAAAAAATAGATCATATATTTTATTAATTAAAATAAAAATAATAAAATAAAATAAAATAAAGATCTTATATTTATTAATTAAAATAAAAATAATGTAAAAAGAAAAGAGGATCATTTACAAATTAAATGGAGATTCATTTGAAATTGATTGTGAGGAGAATGATATCAAAGAAAGGATTTTATTAAAATTCGAAAAAGATTAGGATTCTGATTATGATCTAGATCTAGAATATTAAAGATTAGGAAATCCTTAGTCTAACACTTATGTTATTTATTCTCTAAAAATGCTAATTAAATAAAAAATAGATAAAGAAAATAATAAAAAAGAATTTGAAAAGTTAAATGAAAAAATAATATATATTGAAAAAGAAAAGTTAGGATAATAGAAATATCAAGAAGTGTAGAGTTATTAAAATTAAATTCAAAGTAATTTAGAAACAATCTTAATTCAAAAAGACGAAATTAACAATCTTAAAGAAAAAAATATGTAATTAGAAATTGATAATGAAAAATTTAAAAAAAAGGTCGATAAGTTAGAATAAGAAAAAGCATAAAAAGCAGCTGCTTACGAAAAAGAGTATACATAAAATTTCGAACTGAATAAAAAGCTAGAATAAACATCAAAAGAACTTAATTAAATATAACAATTACAATCATAATCTTCAGAAAGTGAATTGAGCTAAGAAAACAAAATGTTAAAATTAGAAATAGCTAATTTATAGTAGAAACATGAAAATATCATCCAAGCAGCCATTAAAAAGTAAGTAAAGTAATACACTTTAGAATTAGAATAACAATAATAGTAGATTGAAAAATTATAAGCCTAACTAAATTACAATTTTGATGATGCATTATAAAGTATTATATTACATAAATATTTCAAAGATGATTAATTGAAAAATTAATATGATAAATTATAAAACGAGAATTTAAATTTAAAATAGAATTATGCAATCATTTAGGAAAATTTAGAAAAATAAAAATAAGACTATGAAAATTAAATTAACATTTTAAACAAAGAAATTGAAAAACTAGTATAAATAATAAATAATTTTTAAAAGGAAAAATAAGTCTATAATTTTTCAAATAATATAATAAATTTTAAATTATCAGAGGTAAAGTTGAATTTGAATACACTATCAGATTTATCATTAATAAGTTAAGTAAATCTAACTGAATCACCTATTAAAGAATTTTCAGAAGAAGAATTTAATTAAGCTTAAAAAGAATTTAGATCTGAAAACCCATTTAAAATTTAAATCTTATAATTTCTAAATTTGGATTTTGAATTGAAAAAAAAATAAGCAAATGAATACAAAAATTTAACTTAAAGTTAGATAAAAGATTAAATACTAAATAATTTATTATGCTTTGAGCTTATAAAAAAATATGTTTAAGAAAATTTGGATTTATAAAAAAAAATATAAATATTTAATTATTTAAGAATTCCAAGATAATTTATCATAGAAGTTTCAAATGGAATTTATTATTATTGTGAGGAATTAATTTAAGGAGAGAATACGTTATACAGTATTAATAGAAATAATTCAGACTTAGAAAAAATGTTTTAATAATTCTTTATATATTGTTTTTAAAATACAGGTAAGAAAAGAGTATTTACATAATTGGCTTTGAATTAAACTGCTAAGTTAGTATCTAATGTAATTGCACATGATATTTCTAATTCTCCTTTTAATGTTTAAGAAATACTTGCACAATTAGGCAGCTTCAACTAATTATTAAACTAATAATTTGAGATGAGTAAGTCTTTAGATTAAACCATATTCATAGAAACATAATTAGATTGAAAGAATATTCATTAAATAAATAGAATTTCAAAACTTATTTATTAAAATTCTAGTTTAATTTATATAAGTAAAAATCTTTTTTGAAATTATTTAATTTAATATAGAAATTAATGATTATCAAAATCTACTTATTTTTAAATTTATAATTTTAGATTATAGATTGATAAATATAAAATAAATTCTGTTTTGATAAATAAGTTAATAATTTCAATAATAAATGTTATATTATTAAATATGTATAAAAATAAAATAAAATAAAGTGTTTTCCAATTAATAAAGTAAAATAAAATAATAAATTAATTCGCCCGGATAGCTCAGCTTGGTAGAGCGAGAGACTCTTAATCTCTAGGTCCAGGGATCGAGACCCTGTTCGGGCGAAATTTTTTATAACATTTTTTATTAAAACTCATCATTTTAATTCCTTAAACTTATTCTTATCATATATTTCGCTAGAGTCTAATATTTCAATATTTTGGATCAAAGTTTTCCTTTTATTATTACTAAATGGAATTAATTAATTTTTTGATTAATTAAACTTAATTTAAACTAAAATAATTTGTAAAGGGATTTTATTTTTTAAATATCATACTCATTTATTTTTTTTCATTTACATGAAGTATTTTAAATTTTATTGTTTGTCATTGAATTAATTTTAAATTTTCTCTTGTAAAATTAATCAGATAACTTTATTAAAATAATATTTATTAAATTTATTTTGCTTTTATATCTCTATAAGTTCTAATAAGAAAAAAATACAGTATATTTAAAGTCAATTAATAGTATAAATTTGGTTTATGAACTATTTAATAATTTTATTAGGAGCTATATATTAGAGGAAATTCTACCTTCAAACTGTTTTTAACTTAAAAATAATTTATCCTAAATCTTTCACTTTGTGATATAAAAATTACATGATTAAGTATAATTTCATAAAGAATTTATAATCATTTTATTGAGATTAAAGATCATAGCATTATTTAATTTAAAATAACTATTTTTATTTTAATGAGCACATATACATGGTAATAAGTTGCTGAAAATTAAAGAAATGGATGGCTTGTTATAGATGGTATTGTTTATAATCCAACTCCATATCTTAATGAACATCCAGGTGGTCCTGCAGTTTTGTAAAATCGTTTTGGTAAAGATGCTACAAGAGATTTCAACGAAACAGGTTAGGAATTTGATGCAAATATAGGTCATACATCAGGAGCACGCGAAATATTAAAAAAATACAAAGTTGGGACAATAGATAAAACCTCACCTTAAGAGCCTTGGCAAGCTGGAGGTGGTACACC